ACCTGTGTTTTTTTCTTAGGGACCAAAGCAGTATCCTTACAATAATCTGTACCTGGAACGAGGTGGCGATCCCAGCAAAGAACCTGAGCCGGTGGTTCACTATGAGATCTGAGGAGGCTTCGTGGGCTTTGTGCCCCCTAACTGACTCCCTCAATCCTAGAGATTTTACCTTAATGAAATCGCTAATAAAACTTAGTACTGTGGTATCTGTGCCTCATTTCCCCAGGAATAGCCATTGCTTAAGCACAAGAAGATGTTGATTTGCTAATTTCACTGGGAAAAGTAGTTGAGGGTTCCAGTTGTACAGCAGGTGGTAAGGGTAGCTCCTTTCCCCATCTACAGGGTTGTGGAAGAAGGAGGATATGTTCCTGACTTCACAAGTTGGAACAAGATTTATTTCCCATAAAAAACCTTTTTAATAATAAGTGGTTAGCTAAAAAACAATCCTCTAACATGTTTCAAGTATATTATAGGATAAATAGGTGTTTTGGGACTGGCCTAGGGCTGTGATTGCCTCTAATCTTATATCTCTTATAAGAATATGTATTTGGGACTTCCTTGGTGGTGCAGTGGTTAAGAATCCACCTGCCAATGCACGCACAGGACACGGGTTTGAGCCCTTGTCTGGGAAGATCCCACATACCACAGAGCAACTAAGCCTGTGCGCCACAACTACTGAGCCTGCACTCTAGAGCCCGTGAGCCACAACTACTGAGACCGTGTGTCACAACTATGGAAGCCCATGCACCTAGAGTCCGTGCTCTGCAACAAGAGAAGCCACCGTGATGAGAAGCCTGCACACCACAACGAAGAGTAGCCCCCGCTCGCCGCAACTAGAGAAAGCCCGCATGCAGCAATGAAGACCCAGCGCAGCCAAAAATAATTTTTTAAAAAGTATGTATTTATTAAAAAAAAACATTGTAAATCAACTATACTTCAATTAAAAAAAGAAAGAATATGTATTTATTCCAAAGCAACTTCTGAATCCTAGACTCTTATAAATTGATAAATTGACATTACTTATGTTTATTAATTAGAGGATAGTCATTGACTTATTACTGAACCTATACATGGCTTTCACTACCTTAATGATTCATCCAAGCTCCTATAACAGCCTTAGAAAGAGAAAAACCATGTTTCTGAGGGTCTGTTTCCTTTTTTTCTAAATGAAGTGTTTTTTTTAATTAATTAATTAATTTTTGGCTGTGTTGGGTCTTTGTTGCTGTGCGTGGGCTTTCTCTAGTTCTGGTGAGTGGGGGCTACTCTTTGTTGCGGTGTGTGGGCTTCTCATTGTGGTGGCTTCTGTTGCTGAGCACGGGCTCTAGGCACGCAGGCTTCGGTAGTTGTGGCACGTGGGCTCAGTAGTTGTGGCTTGCGGGCTCTAGAGCGCAGGCTCAGTAGTTATGGCACACAGGCTTAGTTGCTCTGCAGCATGTGAGATCTTCCTGGACCAGGGCTGAAACCCGTGTCCCTTGCATTGGCAGGCTGATTCTTAACCACTGGGCCACCAGGGAGGCCCTGAGGGTCTATTTCAATGCACCTGTTTAAAAGAGAACCAATTTATGTTCTTTTCTTCCCTTTAGGGACATTTTCTTAAATTACAATGATATTGCCTGAAAACCTGTCTCAAAAAAGCATACATTCAACGTGATCTGTAGAAGCAAGTCCATTCATGCTAGATAAGGGGTCCTTTAGTGGTATTCAGGCAGTGAAAGACCTTTATGATATCAGGGAGTGGGTACTTCTACTGAAATGCCTCTCTTAGAAGGTCTCCACTGATTTTTTTTTTTTTTTGTGTGTGTGTGGTACATGTTCCTCTCCCTGCTGCGGCCTCTCCCGTCGCGGAGCACAGGCTCCGGATGCGCAGGCCAGACGGCCATGGCTCACGGGCCCAGCCGCTCTGCGGCACATGGGATCCCCCCGGACTGGGGCACGAACCCGCGTCCCCTGCATCGGCAGGCGGACTCCCAACCACTGCGCCACCAGGGAAGCCCCTCCACTGCTTTTTATATGTTTTCATTCTCTGTCCTTTAAAGCATTTGATAATTATTTAACAAACGTCTGTCTGCCTAATATATATCAGACACTGATAGGTCCTGGAGATATAAAGTTGAACAAGAAAATAATTGCCTTCAAAAAGTTACCTAGAAGAGAAGACTGGCATTTGTAAAACGAGGTGAAAAGAATTTCAAAGTGTCTGAGTTGAGAGAAGGGTGCACTTTTTTACTTTACTTTTTTTGTTTGTTTGTTTTAATCATGTCCTACTTGAAACTGTGACCTTATGCCTTTGGTTCAGATTTCTTTCAGAGCACTCCAGTGACACCTCGGCCTCATTCCCTACTTCGAGGTGTTGCCTGAAGTTCAGTTTTCAACCCTGTTTCTCATCCACTGTTGTGCTAAGAAGTTCAAGAAATACTTAGTACGTAGAGTGGGCAGGCACCACCAATGCCCTAAATTCTTTTCTGTCCTGAGTTCAAAACTCCCATGTCCACGTGAAAAGGAAATCTAGAGCTGTGTCACAGTGACTTGGGGCCACGTCATAAGTCATAAGATAACCAGCTCACCATCTTTGGGGGTATATCAGGCTGGAATATGGTGGTAGAACTCATGCATTAAATTAAAATTTTAAATCAAATAACTTAGGTCTAAGATCTTCAGCTGCCTACAGAACATTTTATTTGGAAATGCCATAATTCCCTCAATCAATATGAAAAATATATATGATCACCCCCCCCTCCAACTTTTTATCAGTCACAAGAGCCTGTCCAGCTTTCTTTTACAATCATTGCCACTATGTTAATCCAGGCTTTCATCACCTGGTACCTGGATTGTTCTCTTAGTCTAATTTGATTCCCTGCCTCCAGCTCTGTTCTCTGTGCATGGTGATCCATATTGCTAGTCTGATGTAATCTTATTGCATATCTGCCCATAATTTTCAGTAACTCCCAATTACCTGCAGAGTTGAATTGGTATTCCACAATCTGAATCCAGCCCACTCCCCCAGCTGTAGTCCCTTTCATTCATGGTATGGGAAACACCAGGGCGCTATTAGCCGGTTGGGCCCCTTCTTCCTCGCTGGGAGTCCACCTATCTTCTTGAAGCCCCAACGTATGACACCTGTCTCGTCCCTGAAACCTTCCAGGAAGCCCCTGGTACCTTGCCCCCCGCCCATCTATAGCTTTTAATTAGTTCAACCAGCGGTTGGGGGCACCAGTTGTTGCTGGGCTGCAGAAAGTCACTCACCGCTCTTTATGGCCTAGATTGCTTTTTACCTTTTCAACTAAGTGGATTCCACTGAGAGCACCTGGAGCTAGGTCCGGGTCTTCTCCGCTTCAATAAGCAAGTAATGAGTTATTTTCCCTTTTCAGAGGCTGCCCACGGAGCCTGACTCAAATTGAATAGACCAGAACTTACTGGTCGCGGGATCTGACCCACTGCGCAATCACAGGACAGGTGAGGGAGGCCTGATTAAAAGCTCTAATCCTATTAGGGAACGTTCTCCGTGGGTCAGCGGGGTGCTGGGCCCTGCGCCTGGCGGCGCGTGTGGGAGGTGGGGCCTGCGGGCCAGGAATACTTTTGGTCCTCCTCAGCCGCCATCCACGGCGCCCCGCTGAGCTCCGAAGCCCTGAGAGCAGACCGGCTCCGGCTCCGGCTCCGGTTCCGGCTCCGGCTCCGGCTCCTGCTACGCCGCGCCAGACCCCTGGCCTGGGCTCTCTGCGCAGGTTGGTTTTCCCCGCCTGTACGGGGCCGCTGAGAGGGGAGGCCGTGCCGGGGACCCCGAGCGCCGCCCTTCTCTCGGGAGGGTGCCGGGGCGCGCTCGCCCTCCGCTGGCGCTGCGGCCCGCCCCGCCCCCGGGGCTCCTGCCGGTGTGCCTCTCAGGGGACCCTACGATGCCTGCCCTGCTCTCGGCCGCACTCGGCTCGTTCTCCCTGCCGCGCCTGGGTGCCTCAGCCCGAAGACGGTCTCTCTCCAGCGCTGCCCTGGCGCCTCCCCCATGAGCCCTGGACCCTGACCTGGCCTGGGCCCAGTGTCGGCAACGGGTCTCTGCGTCTGGCCTGGGCGGGAAGGCCTGTCAGTCCTGACGCCGGCGCGCCGCGGGGGAGACCGACCATCCTCCGGAGGGACTGGACAGCCAAGGGTAGCTGGCGTCCTCTTTCACTGCACGAGCGTGTCCAGCTCTTGGTTGAGTGGTCATAGCTCTCCCACTTTTAACGCCCCCGGCATTCTGACCGCAGCGGGGACCTTTTTTGTGAACAGATGTCTTTGAACAAAGTGGATTAAAAGCCCATCTTCCCAATTTGTAGGCTGGGGTTTAAACACTTCATGGAGTTTAGACTGGTGTAATGGTTAAAAGCACTGGGCTCTGGAGGCTGTTGGTGTGCACAGCTTGGTCTAGCCAGTTTTCTTCTCTGTAAAATGCGGATAGTATCAGTACTGACCGCCCAGAACCATTGTGAGAATTAAATGAGATATGCATGTCAAGTGCACACGGCTAATTGCAGCTCCCGCTTAAGAGACCTTTCTCCAGAAACGTGAAAATGGTATTGACCAGCAGGTGGCACTGGTGACCGTGTAGTATGATGTACAATCTTGTCCGAATATTCCTCAAGTGTTTAGAGGTCCCCGGGAAATCTCGGCTGAGTTGGCAGCCTTAAACTTTCTTCAAGCTGGAGAGTACATTTGATATTATTAAGTAATAAAACTTTTGTTTTGGTAAGTCAAGACTAACCTGGCTGTGGCTTGCTCAAGCAGGTCACAGTGGTCCCAAGTTTACTCCATCAAGTTCAGTGTTAACTTTTTTTTTTTTTTTTAACTTCCCTGCCGCTTTAGCCTGTTGGGATGACACCTTGAGTATGTGTTAGAATTGGTTTGGAAACTACCGAGTTAAAATAGATGTCTGCATTCATTCATAAAGTATTATCGAGCACTTACTATGTGCCAGACATTGTTCTGATGCTAGTTATAACATGGAGAACAAAGCAGACACAGTGCTAGCTCTCATGGAGTTTACTTATTAGTGGACAATGTAGATGTAAGTAAATATATAATTATAGATTGCTAAGAAGAAAAAAAGGAGTCTGTTTTTGATTGGGTGGATGACCTCATTGAGGTAAGAAGCTGAGCCCTGAAAGATGTGATAAGGAACCAGTCATGCAGAGAACGAAACAAAAAGCCATCAAAGTATAGCAAACAGAATTTACAAAGCTCTAAAGTGGGGAAACGCCAGGAAATGAAAAAAGGCTAATGCAGCTGTAGCACAATAAGTAAGGGGGAGAGTAGGAAGAGATGAAGTTGAAGTGGTAGGCTAGAGCCTTTGAGCAGGGATCAAAGGGGTTCGCATTTTATTCTGAGTGTGATAGAAGCCACTGAAAAATTTTAAGTGTGGAATGCCAAAATCCAATTTTTGATTAAAAAGTTTACTCCTGCTGCTATGCAGAGAATGAATTGGGTGACAGGGATGAGTAGCAGGGAGAAGACCAGTAATCTAGGTGATAGATGACAGTATCTTCAGATAGAGCAGTGGTGAAGATGGAGAGAAATAGACAGATTAAGGTATATTTTGGAGGCAAAATTTGGAAGACTTAATGATGGATTAGAAGGGAATAAGGGCGAAGGAGGGATCTACTGTGATTTTCAGGTTTGGGGGTTAAGCAGTTGTCTGGGTGGTGGTACCATTTACTGAAATGAAGAAAACTGAAGGAAGAACAGATGGGTGGACGAGATGGGGAAATAGAGAATTCTGTTTTAAACAGACTAACTTTTAGGTATCTTTACTATATTCAAGTAGAAATATTTGATTAGCAGTTGTATATAAGAAACTTGTAGCTCAGAGGAGAGGTTTGTATTGCCGATATAAATTTGGGAGTCATCGACATATGGATGATGTTTAAAACCAAGGGATTGGATAGGGTCACTGAGAGATTATTTGGTTTGATGGTTATCATCACCCTCGGGCCTGTGGCAACTAGTGTATTTGAATATCTTTTAGGGTTTAAAGCATTAGATTTCAGTAACTGGGAAAATGAACTGTCATTACAGATCTGCAGACGGTCATGTATTTGTTACCCTGTGTTGCCCCAAAATGCCCCATTCTTTGGTGGTGAGAGAGAAACAAGCTCTCATGTCTGCAGGTGTTCCCCTTGATCTGGCCCTTAAGCTTGCTGGTTTCTATTTTCAGTAGGCTGAGGAAAAGGGTCACTTTTCTGCCACCTACAGGACAGACCATGAAGCTGAAGGAACTTGAGCGGCCCGCTGTCCAAGTGTGGAGCCCAGCTAGCCACTACTGTGGATAAGGATCCACTGAGTACATAGGTTGAAGGGAAACATAGTATCCAGGGCTCTTTATTGTGCTTCAGAGAAAGTTTTAGAGTCATGGAAATCTGGGGTTGGCTAGCAGTATATGCAAAGGGATATTAGGAGTTTCTGGTATCTGGGGGCAACCTTGGACTCTGGCTTAAGGCTAAGCACCTCATGCTTTCTTGTTTTCTTTGGAGCTACCATTTGAAAAAGGGTATATCCAGCCCTCTCCTGTTCCTCCTCTTCTCTACTGCTTAACCATTTATACCCCAAATCCATGCATATATTGTTGCTCATATGCTGCCTCTTCCTGACTTTTCTTGTGCCTAGGAACATCTGCCCAGCAGCTAGATGCCTCCTTTAGTACAGATGGCATATTGGAAATCTTTGAGGTTGATTTCAGGGACCCCTCTCTGGACTTGAAATGCAAGGGAGTCCTTTCTCCCTCCAGCAGGTACTATGTCTGAACTTTTGATGGGTATGCAGGGCAGATCCTGATGTAGACCCTGGTGGGGAATCCCGGGAGTAGTATGTGCTTCTCAGGGCTCATGAGGAGACAAGTGAGGGGAGAATGGTCTTTTAGTAGGAGAGAAGTTAACTCTGGGTTTATTTTGCAAGAGGATTTTGAAAACACCCACTCCAACCTTTGTGGTCAGCAGCAGCAGCGTCATGCAGAATCATGTGATAGAGACGCCTCACAGAAGCCTGGACCCACAAGTACCTGATCTGTCTCTGAACGCAGAGGAATTGGCTCCTTCCTCCCTTGGCTCTTGTGAAGATAACAGCCTTACACAATATTTCCTTGTCTGCCAGTGGGAGGTGAAAGAATGATCCTCTCCTCATTGCTGTCAGGCACCGATTGGGCACTCATGGATTTCATGGCTCTGGCAGGCTTACAGGGTTGGGTACTAGCATTCACCAAGCACATGTATACATTCCAGGCACTATGCTAGGGGCTCTGTATAATATCTTATTCATTCCTCAAAACGAGCCTAACCAAAAAATACCATTATTCCCATTTTACATAGGAGAGAACCAAAACTCTGAGAAGCTAGGATTTAAGTCTAGGCCTGTCTTACTCCAAAACCTACCTTCTTTCTATTATTCAACTGTTCTTTTACAGGTTGTGTAAAGATGAGGCTTACAGTCTGAATCAATGATCTCTAAATTTTTGTACAATCAGGAAAAATGTGAATATTCACTGTACTCAAGTGTATATTTAGTATAAATAATATACATGTATTACTGTACTACTATTTAATATTAAAAATATAAATCTTTTTCTTACAGCCCAGAGGATTATCTTGCCCATCCACTTTAGAGATTGCTGGTCTAGAATGCAACTCTCCATCTTCTTGTGCATTTTTTGGTCCATCTGAGTGATTAGATTAAGATATTTAGACAGAAGTACCCTCTTCTTTCTTTTCATGGTTTAACCTAATAATGAAAGTTAGTTTTCGTTCTCCTTTTCTTGAGCTCCTATATCACTTTGTTACAGTATCCCTTATTTTGCAGTTTTTAACATGTCTTTGTATTTCCAGTACCTTTACCTTTTGAAGAGCAGGCCTTGGCGGGTTTACCAGTAATGATGAGATATTCTTAGCCTCTAAGCAAGCATTTCAGAAAGGGCTGCTGAAAGGAGTGAGCTAATTTAATAATGTTTATACTCCTGAAGATAAGAAAAGGGGCAGTGAGCGCAAGGACTCTTTTCTTTGACCAGCCAAGCAGCAGCTTCAGCATAGTAGTGGCTCCTTAGGGCTAGGAGTTCCTAAGAAAGAGGCAATGTAATTGCTTAAGAGACCTTGAAACTGAATCCTGAGATCCATGTAGGCAGAGATTTTTGTCTGTTTTATTCACTGCTGTATCTTTAGCATCTAGAATAGTGCCTGTCATAAGGTGGTTAAAAAATATCTGTGGAATAAATGAGTGATATTAGAACCTTCTGGATTTCCAAACGGAGCATTCACGTCCACCAGTTCAGTTAGTTATAGTTAGTCTTCAGTTAGTCTTAGTGCCTTAAGAGCTTTTCAGGGGTAACAATCTGTTTGTTTGGCAGCCAACTAGGTTGAAGGGACACTTTTTGAAATGTTGGTACTGTATTCAGGAATCATGAAGCATCACCTCACACCCTGCTCTACCCTGCAGGAATTTGGGGACTATAATCAAAACAAATATAGTACAGTTAGCTTCCTTTTTCCACCTCTATAATTGTGTCTAAAGATTGAGTCTTATTCTCAAAGACCTAAGGGATTACTTTTGACACAGTTCGGTTGGGGCCTTTCTGAAGAAATCATCTTAGACCCTCCAGGGTTTAAGACACCCACTTCTTTCCGTTCCAGCCTGGGTTAGGTCACTTACTCAAAAGTCAGCATCACAGACAGTTGACCAAGATGATCAGGGTAGACGAAGGGCAACCCATCCTTTGCTTTATGCTTTCCTCTTTTCTGTATCATCTTCTGCTTGGTTTAATGGAAAGCACAGTTGTGTTGGGTTGCTACCTTGGCTAAAACTATGTGACTTTGGGCAAATTGAATTCCATCAGTGATCTTAGGTTTCCTCACTTATATGTAAAGAAGAGGTTGTACAAGATGACTTCTAAGAATCTGCTGAACTCCAAATTTAAGTCTTCAATCTCTCCTTCCCTTTTTCTAGTTTAGTCTCCTTCCTTTTTTCCTTTTTTTTTTAAACAAATGCCTCTCTGTATCTCTTTATTCTTAACTAAACATACTCTTCAAAGTCTTCCCCCTTCCATTGCCTGCCCTTTTTACCAGACCCATGCCTCAACCACATTTGAATCCTGAAGATCCCCTTATACTCAACCCGTGATGTATCAGAGAAATATTATCTATTTAGAAATACCTGACTGAAAGAGAAATGTTCTGAAACACTGGTATGGGTGTAGATAAGGGACAGCCTTAAGCTATAAATAGAGTGAACAGAGTGTGTGAATTAATGCCGCTGGATGCAATCAGAATCAATATGGATTAGCATGTGCACTGAAGCAAGTGATGTTTGGTTTGTTAGGTGAATCTCACTCAAGAAGAAAACTATCTGGGAGAATAATACATTGTTTATGTATTGACTTTTGAGTTGAGGACATAGCTGCTGTGGCTGAGTGAGTTCAGGGGTCAGTGGGTGATTTGCTGCACTCTACCTCTGTCTACACTGATGTTCTAGATCTCTGAGTGGCCACTGTAACCTATGTCTGACCCATCCTCTAGTAACATGGAGGAAGTAGGTGATCTATCTTCCAATACCTTTATCTCAGTTCTAGCTACTTGGGGAGCACTGTGACCCCTCTTTAGGTGCCTTTGTAAGGGACAACACTAAGCAGTAAAAGATCGTTTTGGTACTACTCCTAATTTTCTTGTTTCTAAGACTTGCCTTCTCTCTAGAGACATTAAGATCACAGAGGAGAGAGCATGGGCTTTGTTGTTGGACAGACTTTGGTTCAAACCCCAGCTTTGCCATCTACTGTCCTATCAGACACATTATTTAACTTCTCTGACCCTGTTTTCTCTACTGTAAATTTGAGTAACATAATTGGCACATAGTAGCCTTGTGCATACTAGGCATTCAGAAAAGTAGTTCTCCTCTCAGACAGCCATCGCTCCACCCCAGTGTCTTTATTCTCCAGCTTGGAGCACTGCCCTCATCTCTCTGACTTTTAAGGAAACTTGGATTTCCTCAGTTATTTTGGCCAGGATGTGGACAAACTCATTTTCACTTAAATCCACTAACATGAGGTTGGGATTTTTCATAAGGAACTTCACTAAGCAAATAAAATCAAAATCCAAAACAAAGAAGTACAGAAATCATGGGAGCAAGAATTTATACAGCACATATTCCTAATCATAGGGTAGCTGAAGCTTGGCCTCAGATGAGCTTAGCTGGTGCGACGTTCTGATCTCACAGGTCTCAGTTTATTCTCTCCAGCCTTGTTTTTCTCTTTTTGCCAGGAGCATAGCCATGAGTTGATTGTTGGGGCTGGTTCTATCTTTATGCATTCAACTTCTTCCCATTGTTCTATGCTGGTGTGCAGTCTGATGTATCTAGTACAGAGGTTCCTAACCTTGGCAGCTTATTAGAATCACCTGGGGGGCTCTTATTAGAAACGTAGATTCTGAGGGCCTGTCTCTGGAAATTCTGCTTCTGGGTCTGGGTGGGAATCCGGAACCTGTATTTTCTTTAGGTGCCACCCCTCATTCTGTGATGCCATGTGGTCTCCATCATTATCCTGAGAAGCTCTTTAGCAGAGAATTCCACGTGTATCCTTATGTTTTCAAAGTTCCCACCTTCCTATACAAACTCGTCTCCCTATACCTTCTACTTAAATCTCTTAGTTCCTATTTGCAGGCCAAAGGCCATCTTTTTTGTTTTATAACTTTTTATTTTTAAAATATTCGAACACAGAAGTTGCACAATAGCACAGTGAGCAATCATACCTTCATTTAGACTCATCAGTTGTTAATGTTTTGTCACATCTCACATGCTTGTGTGCTTTCTCTTTGTTTACACACACACACACACACACACACACACACACACACACACACACACACACACAGACTGTCCATTTGCAGGGCAGAGATGATTGATCAAGTCTCCTTCCTTGCCTGACTCGTCCCAGGTGTTCCCCCTCTCCCAGGTGTTGTCTATCACAGCTATTCGGGCTCCAGTTTCACCCTTACTAGTGAAGTGTTAACAATAGGAACGTACTTTCTGCATGCTTACACAAAGAAAAATCATTTTGTCACACCCCGTATTCTGCATTTCAGCCACTCTAAAGTAACTGGGCCCTCTTCTCCGACCCTTTGGTGACTCCCATGTGGTCTCAGGTACCTTTTACTCTGATTTTATATGTCATGTGCTCTGACCATACCGCGGTCACTGCATTACCATGTGAGTTTCCATGGCCATACCTACCTCTGCTTCCTGTGTGACCTATTAGAGGCTTCTCTGGCTAACCTATTGACTTGCCCTCTGCCCATGCTGAGCTCTAGCCCCTGGATGACATGGCTGGCAGCCTCTGGAGCCAGCGTGGAACACATTCTTCTGTCCTGTTAAGGTCAGCGCAACCTTAGAAAATATAGCCTTTCTGACAGTAGCTTTAGACCCACCGTTTGTTCAGCTCTGCTGTTTTTGTTCAGATGCTGACCTGGTCTGAACTAGTGCTCAGCTCTTCACTTTTGACAGGTTGGCTCTGCTCTAATGACTGGCCAAACAGGTTCCTGCCTGGTTACCCCATTCAATTTCTTTGCTGATTGTTCCCAGGGTGTGGGAACATTTAATTTCAGTTGGAGATCTTACGACATCATTCAATGTGAAATCTGGCTTCTCGGAAGGCTGCGGAAATATCCTTGTCTAGTAGGATAGCCAAGTGAAATGGAGGACAGACCACCTGTGAGCCTTTGGGGATTTCACATGCCTTCCCTAGGGGCTTTGCAGGGGACCCATACTTGTGTGCAGGGAGCCCAGGGTCCATCTCTTTCTTGTATGAAAGATGCTCAGAAAGCCAGAAAAGTGTTCCCCAAACGGTGCATTTATTCTTTGTGCCTCTGTGTCTCTAGGGCTGGCCCACTGAATCCACATGGTAGTTCCAGTGGACTAAACACATGGGAGAGGCATGGGATGGGAAAGTCCTTAGATCTTTTCTCACTTCCAGTTTAAGAGGGAAGAGGGGACAGCAACTGTTGGCCTAAGGAACCTGCTTCTATTCAGGTGCAGAAGAGTTTGGATCTTGCTCTAAATAGAAGACAATATTTTATGATGGTTAAGAGCTCAGGATTTGGCATAAGATGGGCCTAACTTTGAACCTTGACTCTGTCACTTCCTAGATGTCAAATGGGAGTAAAATTACTAACTGTATATACAGAAGTTTCACAACTTCTCTGTGCCTCGTTTCCTCAATTGAAAATGGAGTTAATACCTCATGGGGTTGTTGATCAGCTAAAACATGTAAAGCACTTAAAACGTACTAGTGCCTAGTACGTTGGAAGTTATCAAAATAAGCGTTAGTTGTTATTTGAGTTGGGAGGATTAAGAAGTAATTTATTTGAAGTGTTTATCACTGGGTTTATATTAAACCCAATAATGTTAACAAAAACATTAAAAGCACCCCTCCCCCAGCTCCGTGGCAGTGGCCTCCTGGCTTCTAGTGTAACATAGACGGAACATTTTTTCAGCCAAAGGGCAGGAGGACCAGGCAGAGGAGACCTCTGTTCTGTGTCTGGGAAATGAGGGAGACAGGCAGGCCCTGACTAAGGGTGGGGATGCCTGCGTAATGTCAGAAGCTGGCAAAGATGCCCATTCTCTACTTACTGACGTGGACCTGAGTTGGTGCTGATGCCAGTTCCTCCTCTTTGTAGGTTTCACAAGCTGATCTGGGGGAGCTTTGGCAACGGGCTTCTGGAAGGCTCCGGGGTTATTGCAGGCAGCGGGGATGATGGCATGCTTACTCTATACAATGTGACCCACATCCTGTCTTCGGGGAAGGAGCCTGTGATTACCCAGATACAGAAGCACACGGGGGCTGTCAGAGCCCTTGACTTTAATCCGTTCCAGGTACTACATTTCAGTTAATCAGACACGGCTGACAGATCTGAAGGGAAGCGTTTGCTTGTGACCTGTGGTCTCTAACTCTGAGCCCTTCCCAGGTTGTTGTGGGGGTGGTTTTGGAAGCCCTGCATGTGGGTCTCCTTCCCCCTTTTCTGCTCTCATCTCTTCCTGGGAAGGCGTGTCTCCAAAGGCCTGTTCCTTCATACAGGGCAACCTCCTGGCCTCAGGGGCCAATGATTCAGAAATATTCATTTGGGATTTGAATAACCTGAGTGTGCCAATGACCCCAGGATCCAAGTCACAGGTGAGGAGCCTTCTGGTGCTGCTGCTAAGAGTGTGCACCTGATTTTCCCAGGGAGTGTTGGATTATGGAGGCAGCCAGCACACAGGAGATTTCCGTCTTCACCACTGGAGGGCACTAAAGCTCCACAGACTAACGTGCTGCCTACCAGCCAGATAATAGAGAGTTGGAGTCGGGTGGGGACGGGTTGGGGGTGGCTTGTGGTCATTAACTGACCCAGGGGTTTCTGGAAGGCAAATGAAGAAGGGTGAGGGGAGTAAAAGACATTGAGAGAAGGCATGAACGTACTGTTTATCGTAGTATAGCTTAGGCAAGCTTGGGCCCTGAGCTTAGCTGAGCAGGGGCAAGAGTAGGACACCCAGATACACCCTTGTCCTTTTTGTGGGAGGATCAGCGGCGTTGTCTTTGTATCTGGTTTCCCCATGTGGTTGGGGGACTCGTGTGTCTCTGTCTCTGAGTGTACCTATCTTGTCAGTCTGTAACGGGGCCCATCTTTTTCTTCCTCACTTTTGTTTCTTATGCTTACAGTATCGTGAGGTAAGTTCAGTATGAATTTGATAGCACCTTGTGCCCTAAAAGTATCAATGGCTTTTCTCTCTGCTTCATTCTCTCTGGGGGTCTTGGGTGTCTATATTTCCCTCCCTCCCTCCCTCACCTTTTTCCTCTCCCTCTCTCTCTTGTCAGAGACGAGAGGGCTGTTTTAAAATCTTGACTCTATCCTCTCAGGAGCACTTTGGGATAGGAGTAAAACCCAAGTGCATCTGTTCTTCTCTCAGCTTCTACACCAGTTTCCTAAAGCATCCTCTCTGGAAAACTCCCCTCCCAGCTTCCCGAGACTGGCTTGGTTTGGATAGCCCCATGTCTACTCTTGGCCTTTCTGTGGGTGGTTGGGAGCAGTGGAAGAGCAGCTGTCTCTTGGTCCAGGGGTGACAGGTTGTCCTCAACCTGCCCCCCACACATCCTGCCTCAGCAGCCCCCAGAAGACATCAAGGCACTCTCTTGGAACCGTCAAGTTCAACACATTCTGTCTTCTGCTCACCCCAGTGGCAAGGCAGTCGTGTGGGATCTCAGGAAGAATGAACCTATCATCAAAGTCAGTGATCACAGCAACAGGGTGAGTTGAATACAGGCAGAATATAGGCTCGGGCTCTGCTGTCTCTCTCAGGCCTAGTGTTGGAGCTGCTCTCCCCCAGGCGAGGGTTCTGTTTTCGGCTGTTACACCTGTGGATTCAGCCTCAGCAGATTTCCATTTGAGAGTGAAAGCTTAGGGAAGCTAAACTGAGCTGATCTGGAGGCTTCTGGTGCTCCTTGCTATGGTCATCACTCATTCCCCGATGGCTGTGGTGTTCCCAGTCACATAGGAGAGACACAAAACCTACCCTCAGAGAGGTCCCATTTCAGCTGGACAAAAAAGGTTCATAACCAGAAGAGTCAGGTTACATGGCCCATTGGGGTCTGCTTTGTTCACAGATGCACTGCTCAGGCCTGGCCTGGCACCCAGACATTGCCACCCAGTTGGTGCTCTGTTCAGAAGATGATCGTCTTCCAGTAATTCATCTGTGGGACTTGTGCTTTGCCTCCTCACCCCTGAAGGTGCTGGAGAGTCACAGCAGGCAGCATCTCAAACCCCATCCACATCCTTGTTGGAGGGCGGGGGCATAAATGACCTGGGTAGAAGGCAATGCATGCCTCACTTTGGCTACCAGACATTCTCCCTGGCTTCAAAGCTATCCCAGTGAACACATAGTTACCCAGTTCTAGTTCCAGGTCCAATCAAGAGGAATTCCTTTAGACCCAGAGGTTATGGAAAAGAGCCTGAGTTTCCATCTAACTTCCAGAGATGGGAGTGGGGATAGGGTATGAGAAATACTGGAGCCAATGTTTAGTCCCCCTGGGAGAGTCCCCAAGCTCTGATCTGAGGACAGTACTCATTTCTTTAGGTGATTAGGTTGCCTCCTTCAAGAGTTCTTAATAAGGGAACCTTGGCTCCTGTCTTTTCTGTGAACAGGCCTGCCTCTGAAGCTGTAGCTCTTGGGCCTACAGCAGAGAAAACAGCCCCATAGTCTGTTCTTTCTAACTCAAGGGCCATGCCCCGTGGGGACTTTTGAGCGTTAGGTCCTCACTACCCTCCTGGGCTAAAAGCACCCATAGGGATGGGTGCTTGCCTGATTCATGTTGATTCATAATTCCTACCCTACAATCAGGGAAGAGAAGCAGGCCATCCTTCAGTGACCTGCAGGAGGCAGAGTGGTATAGTGCATAGTGCACAGGCTCTGGGATTTGACTTGGGTTCTGCCTGCTTGACTGCTGAAAGTTCCTTAATTTCCTCCAAAGCCTCATTTTCCTCATTTGTAAAATGAAGCCAGACTGCTCATTTTTGGGGGATGAAATTTATCCAAGATACATAAGGCACCCTGCTCACAGTAGGCATTCAGCAAACGTTAGTTCCTCTTTCCTTTCCTTTTTAGGGGGATCCTGCCAGTGTCATGGAGTCAGGCTGAGTAGTGCCAAGGACAACCAGATCTTGTGCTGGAACCTGGAGAGCAGCGAGGTAGGCTGGCCCTTCTGTGGGCATGCTGGGATGGTAGGGGAGTCCCGGCTGCACCTATGTGTTCTGGGTTTCCTTACCTAAGTCAAGGTCTCCTTAATGGTTGTGTTCCCTCATGTTAGGTGGTGTATAAGCTGCCCACACTGAGCAGCTGGTGCTTTGACGCGCAGTGGTGCCCTTGGGACCCTCCAGTGTTCGCTGCCGCCTCCTTCGACGGCTGGATCAGCTTATGCTCTGCGGCGGGTAGGAGCTGGGAAGTCCGGCAGATGAGGCAGGCTGACAAGGCTTGAAGGGCTTGGTGGAGAATGCTGGAGGGAAGGGACTGCCTCTGTTTGGCGGGAGAGGGAAGGACATAGCCTGGGAAGAAGTGGGGACTATTGGAGACTTGGGAGACCAGAGCCCTGGGTTTGGGAAGGCTGAACCTTTGCTCCAGTGCCCATCTTCCCGGAAGGATGTCTGTTCCTGCCCAATATAAAGGAGGCCTTTACCTTGACTCTTGCTCTTGGATGTTCCCAGCGGTACTTCGGGGAAATTGGACCTCCATGCTAGGACCCTTCACTATTTTGGAAGTATGAGCTGTCTTTCCTCCCTGCCTCCTATAGATCCGTTTTGTGCCACACTCCACTGTAGACGTTGGATGCAGTAGGCTTTCCAAGAGCCTTATTGCATGGGAGTCCCATCCTCACTACCAGTCCCCTGGAATATGAGAGTCCTGCCTTTGTGGGCCAAATTGGGTGTCTCAAGGATCCCTCCCAAAATGGAGTTTGTAGGTAGAGTTCCTGGCTAACCACCACTCCACACTGGTGATGCAGGTGTCCTTTTGCCCTCAGACCTCTTCTTCCTTTAGCAAAGTCCAGCATCTCCCACCATTGCAGGTGCCAGAGCAAGTGGCCCAAGCATCATTGATATCTCCCCTGAAAACAAACCCCAAATGGATGAGAAGGCCAGCAGGTGTCTCAGTTGCTGTAAGTGTAGTGTGTGTGTGTGAAGCCTACTGTGTGCCCAGCATGGAGCTGTGTTCTGTAAGAGGTTTATTCTCACTGCCTGTGTCTGAGATCAGGTCCCACTTTACTGGTCAAGCAGAGAGTTGCTGTAGCTTCCCTCTCTACCCCTTCACCCTGCTTGCTGTGCCAGTCCTGTCTGAAAGGAATTGATTGCTTTAGAACTCTCATTTATGGAGAACTGCCTGAGATTCCATCTGATTTTTCTCCACATCTACATACCTGGACTGGTAGTGAGTCCAGGCATAGTTAGAATACAAAAAGAACAGGATGAATACAAAGGAGGAAAGAAAAAAAAAATGTAGATTTCATCCTCTCCCTCCTCTGCTCAAAACCTTTGACCCCCCCGCCATTGCCTTATAGACTCAAGGCCAAATGTACACAGCCCCATTTACCTCCAGGTTTTTTTGGGGGGGTGGGAGCACTGCCTTAAACATCAAGTTTATTGTGCCGTTCTCACATTCCAAACCCAAACCCCACCTCTCCCCAGTGGTGGACAGCAGAGGGAAGGATTTTCACAGTACCTGCAGACCTCCCCATCAACATTCCCCTCTTAACCCTCAGTCCCTCTATCTGTGGTCCACTGAGACACAGCTAGGACAAGGGCCGAGGAGAAATGGGAATCTCTCCTTGGGACAACAGGAGCAAGAGGCTAGAGAACTTGATACCCACCACCTCCCATGCCCCAGGAGAACAGAGGTCAGCAAACCGTCCATGCCATCCAGCCCAGTGGAGTGCGGGAGAGGAAGATGATGGTGACTCCAGCACAGCCGGGCTTGCTGCTTAGGTGCCAGAGATGTAGGGAAGAGGCTGGGGCAGCAACACAGGAAAGGCTTTCTCTGCAGATCCAAGAGAGGAAACTATCTTTGGAGCCAGAAAGAAAAGACCTTGGGATACTTTCCTCTTCCCCCAGGTCCTTTGTAGCAGCAGGCAGCTTCTTCACACTGTCTGTTCAGGAGGCCACTTAGTGGCTGGGGGGATGGGCCTTGTGGAACAGTTACAGGGCAGGACACTGGAAGTCTTTGAAGGTGTTGTGGGGTGTGGCCACAGGCTCCTAGCTGGAGGACCCCGCCTCTGGGGATGTCAGGTAGGAAGTGAACTGCTCTGGCTTCAGCTGAATTTGATGATAGTTCTCGTAGATTGGTTCCATGAGAGTCTTTCTCTTGCTGTAGGATGACCAAGGCTGGGGCTCCAGGACCAGGATGCCCCTAGGATGTAGGTGCCAGTAGATCTGGCAAAACACGCACTTCAGCCCCTCGTCTGTCCAGTTGAAACGCACCACCTGTTGAGGCCGAGGCAGAGCACCACGTCTTATGTGAGCGTTTGGGCCTGCACCAGCTCATCTCGATCCACGATAAAGAGCCCTGCCCCGTGCACTGGTGAATTCTCTGCTGAACTAAAAAAAAAAAAAAAAGACACTAAAACAGGCGATGTTGTCCAACTTCCACTTCCCCCAAAATGGCCAAGTCCTGCTCCAGTTTTTGTTCCCACCTTATTCTCATGTGTTCGCTCTACTCCAGTTATATATGTCTACTTTCTGTTCTATGAATAACTCAACTCTGCTGCCTCCACCTGTACCTTACCCTTCAGCTTCTCTCCTGAACATTGAATCCTACTGCAGCCTTTCAAGGTCGCTTGCTTAAATACCACCCTCCTCCATGGTGCCCGTCTTTAGCCCCATCAGAGGTGAAGAACTCTGAGGTCAAGGGGCCTGAATTCTTATCATAGCTCTGTCTCTTACCAGCTGGGTAACCTTGGGCAAGTCACTTAACTCAGGACTTCAGTGTTCTTATCTGTAAAACAGGGATAGTAGGACCTGCTGAGCTTCTATTTGTGAATTGACATGAAACTCAAATAAGAATATATGTAAGCACTTTGTAAAACTGTCGAGTATTATACAAATCAAAAGTTAAGATGGTTCTGTTTAGCACAATCTGTAATGTAGATTTTGTGCTGTAAGAGTGGAGAAGAATTCTGGCTGGGAACATTCATTAAGGAGGGGGGTAGTAGTGAATGGTTGGGGACTAGAGCAGTAGTTGTCAAGCATGGCTGCAGTTGGAATAACCTGAAGAACTTAAAAAAAATACTGATGCCCAGTACCACCCCCAGAGCTTCTGATTTTTTTGTCTGGGGTACAGCCTGGTGACTTTGGATAGCTCCCCAGGTGGTTTTAATGTGCAGCCAAGGTGAAGAACTGCTGGAGTAAAGGAACTTTCCTGGGCTCTGCTTTTGTTCCAGGTGCTTTATATAAAGTACCTCATTTGGTGAGAAGGATTCTCAGGTGGGGTTGTTGTGGTGGTTGAAGGCACAGAAGCAGGAATGAACTGGGCACTTTGGAGATGCGGAGTGATCACATGAATGAACAGAGAGAGAGGTGCCAGAGACGCAGGTCTGGCCCTGATTTTGAAAGATTTTGTGCACTCTAGGCAGAGGAGCTTAAGCTCTCTCTGGGGCCTTGTGAAACCAGTACAGGCTCCTGAATGGCAGCAGGGATAGGGTTGTAGTCTAAGGCTTGGAATGGAGGAGGAAAAGACCAGTGCTAGCACTGGGCATGGGAGACATTGAACAAGAAGAGGGAAGGAAGACTTTGTTGTTGCTCAGCTATTGTGGGTAAAAAGACTGTAATAATTCCAAGGAGTTTAGTCCAGGTGACTGGGAGAAAGGTGGTACCAGGACAGGTGAGGAAAAGATGAGTACCATGTACTGAAGTTTTAAGTTGGTGGTGCTGAAAGTGCAGGAGTGGTTTTGGGGTGGGGGTACATTCACTACTGAATTCCTGGTCCTATTCTACCCCCAGGAGTTCTCTTATTATTGCTTTCCTATCCTAGGGTCGACCAATAGATAGCCTTCCGTATGATCCTGACTTGGTGTTAATTTTTGCCTTAACCCTTCTTGTTTTTTCTCACCAGTTTGGGGGGAAGCTGGTTACCTTTGGCCTCCCCAGCACCCGTGCCCATCAGGTGCCACAGCCTTGCCTCTGCCTAGTCTTCATCAGTCAGGTCACCACAGAACCTGAATTCCTCATGCGGTCAGCTGAGCTGCAGGAGGGCCTGGGATCAGGAAATCTCCTGAATTAGTCAGAACAAGATCCAGCAAGCATCACTGGAAAGCGAAAAGATGCTCTGGCAGTTCCTGAAAGTAGGAAGCCTGAAGGCTGGCTGCTCAGAAGTGTTTCTCCAAAGCCGGGCACCCCAGCCTCTGTCAACAACCACCACGTGGCCCAGATTACAGAGGCCCTAACCTCGCTGGGATTTTTCCTACATGGCACCCACGCCGGGCACAAAGTCTTCTCCCTTTACCCGAGGCTCAGAGACCATTCATGGCTATAGGGAAACTGAGGAGTACAAGCAGCATTTGCCTTTTTCCTACTGTTGCTGATGTCCTGGCTACTTTACCAGAGCCAAGATGAAGGCTTTCACAGTGCCATGCCACAGGGCAGTTAAGGTGATGGGAATGGAGAAGAAAGAAAGGGAAAGGAAGGGAAGAGGATCAGCTGGAAGGCTTTGAGTTGTTTCAGGTAACCCAAGGCAAGTCATTGTGGTGGGACTCAGGGCTCAAGTCCCACTCTACTCTGGAGGCATGGTTTCAGTTGCAGCATCAGTTTAATTTCAGGTTGCTTATGACACCATGATGAGTGCTTTATGTGTCAAAGGAAGTGAGCATGTGAGAGGAGAGAGCTGAAGAAAGAAAGAAATAACTGGACAGACAGTGAGAGGATTAGTCATATCTTTGGGATTATAGAGTAGAATGCAAAAAGAAGGACAGGGCCTGTCCTGGGGGGTCTGAGAAGAACTTGGAGTCTGTGCTTCAGATATACTAGAACTTTTTGCTTTGTTTTGTTTTTGTGGTACGCAGGCCTCTCACTGTTGTGGCCTCTCCCGTTGTGGAGCACAGGTTCCGGACGCACAGGCTCAGCGGCCATGGCTCACGGGCCCAGCCGCTCCACGGCATGTGGGATCTTCCCGGACCGGGGCACGAACCCGCGTCCCCTGCATCGGCAGGCGGACTCTCAACCACTGCGCCACCAGGGAAGCCCTATACTAGAACTTTATGAAGGTCGATACCAGGAATCTGAGGAGAAAAGGATCTGAGGAAGATCATCAACCGTAGAATGAAGCTAGAAAGAGATGTGGGAAGAAAATAGTAAGAAATAATGCTATTGTTATAAGCAGGATACAGGTAGTAGCTCCAGGAATGGTGGAGTTGGAAAGAGTAGAGGGAATAATTGGGAGTTCAGCCTTTACTCTGCTGAACAAAGGAGGCATTGGTGCCCATAGGACAGAGGGGAGTCTGATTTAAAAGCTACAAAAGAGCTGTTCATGATGATGGTCCTGAAGCTGAGTGTGGATGAACATTTCCAGGAGAAGAAGATAGAAGAAGGGGGCCCTGAGAGACTATGAGAAAGATCATGGTAAGAATTCATGGTTCAGTGTGGGATAAATGAAGGGCCCAGGCCTGCTAACCCATTAGGGTAGGGCTTCAGGAAGCCTTGGCCCTTAGTATCTGGAACACTGAGTGGGTAAGCTGACTTCGTTTACTATATCCATGCAACTTCCACTTAGGAGTCTTCTCACCTAGCCATTTAGACTCATAAGACTACTGAAGGCTCACTTGGCATCAGTCTCCTCAGAAGGATAGGGGACAGGAACCACAGCTTGTCAGCAGGGCAGCATCAGGGAGCATCAGGTGGTTCTCTTCTGTGGGAGTCCTTGTTACAGTCCATGAGGCAGCTTAGAGTTCTCTCCTTCAGCTCCCCAGGTGCAAGAAGATGAGATATACATCAGGCTGGTGTGCTAGCTGCGCTGGCTTGGAAGCTCCAGGCCCACAAGAGCTAATATCTCTTGTACAAACTCCAAAAGCATAGCTTCTAGGGTCCCTGCAAGGGATCTGTTTAGTACAGGAGTCCTTGCTATCAGGGAAGCCCATAGCATGGTGTCCACATCAATTATTTATAGTTTACATAGTTCTGGTCCAGATGCAATTTACCAGTCACAAGCTGTGTTGCCTAGAAACATAGCTGACATTTTACTCTTATCAGGTTACCAGGGCAATAGATCTAGGAAGTCAACTGAAGGTCCAGTTCTCATTGCAGAAGGGGGAAAGGGTTTGTTAACACATCTGCCCACACCCCAACAGGAATCAAGTCTGGGGAGAAATAGGGAGAGATGGTGTTGGCCTCAGTGAGCACTTCTGGTAGTACAAAGAACTACATTTGAGGGTACACTGGCACAGATGTCCAGCTGGTGCAGGAGAGCGTCTTTCACATTCATTTAATGGAGACTTCTATGTTCTGTGGCTCCTTAGGTGACCTTAGAGAAGGACTCCAGAATGAAATTCCTAAAACTATTAGGATACAATAAAGGTGAACTTCAGAAGAAGGTAAGCTGCTTTCACATCAGAAATGTGCTTGATGCAGAAAAGAGAATCCTGCCAGTGGAAACCGTCTCAGAATACCTCTTCCATTAATACATATACGAGCATTTTACCTCCTGAAGGTAGTCTCTTTCCCAGGAAAATACCTCAAGGATCTTAGCGAGTCCAGTTGGTGGGGTATGGAGGTGGGAAGAAAGCATAATGCTTATTTGACCCCGTGCTGGGAAGAGTGGTACTCATAAGTCTCTCCCTCCAGGTGGCCACATGGTTGAAGAGTGATTTGGGGCTGGGTGAGAGCCCTCAGCCCAAGGGAGTTGACCTCAACAGTAACAGACAACAGGCCTTTTGCATCCAGGTGCGGTAGGAGCACAGCCAGCCTAACCTAGGGTAGCATAGAAGATCTGCCTTTAGGGTATCTTCCCCTTCCTAGCCCTAAGCTTTGCTCTCAGTAAGTGCTCAGCTTCTGTGGAAGTCTTCAAACTCCTCATTCATTTAAAACCAGAGTGAGACACAGAGACCTAAGCTTTTAGGCTAGGGGTAGAGTTGTGTTTTAACCATGAAGTAGAGCACTTTCCAAACCATACCTGGTTATTCTTTTAGCTTTACCCATTAAGGGCCAACTCTTTTTTTTTTTAATTGAAATATAGTTGATTTACAATGTTGTGTTAATTTCTGCTGTATAGCAAAGTGATTCATGTATACATACATTCTTTTTTATATTCTTTCCCAGTATGGTTTATTACAGGATACTGAATATAGTTCCCTGTGCTATACAGTAGGGCCTTGTTTATCCATTCTGTATGTACTAGTTTGCATCAGCTAATCCCAAACTCCCACTCCATCCCTCCCCCACCCCCTCCTCCTTGGCAACCACAAGTCTGTTCTCTATGTCTGTGAGTCTGTTTCTGTTTTGTATTGATAAGTTCATTTGTGTCATATTTTAGATTCCACATATAAGTGATATCATATGGTATTTGTCTTTCTCTTTCTGACTTACTTCACTTAGTATGATCATTTCTAGGTCCATCCATGTTACTGCAAATGGCATTATTTCATTTTTTATGGCTGAGTAGTATTCTACTGTATATCTGTACCACATCTTCTTTATCCATTCATCTGTGGGTGGACATTTAGGTTGTTTCCACGTCTTGGCTATTGTGAGTAGTGCTGCTGTGAACATAGGGGTGCGTGTATCTTTTTGAATTATAGTTTTGTCTGGATATATGCCCAGGAGTGGAATTGCTGGATCATATGGCAACTCTATTTTTAGTTTTTTGAGGAACCTCCATACTGTTTTCCACAGTGGCTGCACCAGCTTACATTCCCACCAACAGTGTAGGAGGGTTCCCTTTTCTCCACACCCTCTCCAGCATTTGTTATTTGTAGACTTTTTCTTAAAATAAATTTATTTATTTTATTTATTTATTTGTGGCTGTGTTGGGTCTTTGTTGCGGCGCACGGGCTTTCTCTAGTTGCAGCGAGCGGGGACTACTCCCACGCTGAGGGAGGAGACAGAGGAGCGGCCTGAACTCTGGGAGGTCAAGGCATGTTGTCAGGGACTAGAGTGCATCCCTCTACGTTTAGTAGAGGGCATTTATGGTCCTCTTTTACTTTTTCTTGTCACATCTCAGTGCAAGAGCTTTGCCCTTCACTGCAGAGCAGGATTAACCTCACTGTTGTCTTAAAGCCACTGAGACTACTTGTTCCATAGCTCATGGTCCCCCACCTGTTTTCAAACAGGAGGAGGAGGAGCACAGGGAAGCTGTGCCATTTAAGAAGTTTCTGTCTCTCTACAGACATGCTGGGAACTCACATGGAGCAGGAGGGTGGCAGGGCACTAAATTCTGAAGCCAGACTCTGTTACGTGTGCTCAGGAAGTGTGGAGCGGCTGGTGGAGTGCTGGGCAAAATGCCCCTGGGCTTCATCCCCCATGGCTCTACAGGTACCCCTTCTCTGCAGGGCCCTGGTCCCCCACATCAGGCCTTTAGGAGGGGCTAGCAGTGGAGGTTGCAGGGACATCAGAGGTGAGTCTTCTGAGTAACCAGGCTGGAATCAGGGTATTAGGGAAGAGATTAGGGCCCCTAAAGTCTGGGGCCTTTTCCATGGGTAAGCTATCATCTTCCTTCTTTCTCAGTCAAGGGAGACGGAGCAGTAGCTGCTTAGATGTTAACCGTCATAATTTTTTCCCGCTTCAGGTTTGGGTGTATAAGTTTACATGATATTTGAGTAATTGCGAGCTTGGGCCTTCTATTAGCTTCTGTGAAAAGTCCTGTATCTAAATTGTACCAGATACTCTGTGGGTACCCAGAGAAGGTGGGGGTCACAGACTCATGCGGAGACAAAGTTACACATGAAATAAGAGTATAACAGGATCTGAAGTTGATGATGTATTAGCATAAAAGATAAAAAATCCAAAAAGAAGAGGCAGAAATGTATAAGAGTATAAGACTCAAACGGCTTGGGAAGTGAAGCCAAGTGGCCCTTCTCTGACTGTCATGTCTCTTATATATCATATATCATCACCTGCTACCTGCACCTGGCTATGGCCAGGTGCCTTCATACCCATAGCAGGGAAGTCCTTGGTTGAGCTGCCTGGGCTTGGAGAGCAGGATGTGCTTTGAAGAGGGCTGACTGCCCTTATCCTTGTCCCTATAGGACCTGATGGAGAAGGTGATGGTCCCTAACAGGAGCTTGAAGCTACTGCGGGGTACTGATGGGGTGAGCCCAGGCCCTGCCACAACCTACAGAATCGCTCAGTATGCCAACCCCCTGGCAGCCCAGGGCAGCCTGGTCACTGCCATGAGCTACCTACCCAGTGACAGTGCTCAGGTGAGTGGGGGCATGTGGAGAGAGCATACCATTTCATTCAGTCATCTAACACTGGCTGAGCACTTCCATGTTCCAGGCACTATGCTAAATGCTGAAGCTCCCAGGATAAATAAGATCGAGTCCCTTAGGAGGTTCACAGTCTCTTGGGGGAAAATGAGATGTCAATAATTTATCCTGCTATAACAGAAGCTTATGCTAAGCACTGTGGGACTTCACAGGCAAGGGGCTGGCTTTGTCTGGAGAAGTCAAAGAAGGCTTCCCAGTGGTTAAAACATTTGAGCTGGATCTTCAAAGAGAAATAGCTTACCAGAAGATGTCAGGCATTCTAGGCAGAAAGAACAGCAAGAAGGAAGGCTTGGCAGGAATTAGAGACCTTTTGAGTCCTCTAAGGTGGCTGAAATGTAGAGGGTCGGCTGAAGTTTGAATGCTATGTGGGGCCAGGCTTGTAAGAGGGGTTGTTTGCTTGTTTTAACTTTACTTAACACAGTTCTTCATGATTATAACTTTTATAGCCACCAATTCAGCAGCTGAGAGATTGGCTTTTTCATGCCCAGGGTTCTGGTGTCTTGGGCCAGCAGTCTCCCCCTTTCCCCTTTCCCCTTTCCCCGGGTTATTGTGGGAGCTGCTCCCCACTCTCAAGAGACATCATCTCCCAGACTGGGATTCCAGTCTTCTCACCAGGTAAGATCTTGCTTGTTCATTCATTCAAAAATACCTGTTAAGTGTCTACCAAGTGCCAGGCATGATTTTATAATATATTTATAATATAATATAATATATTTATAATATATTAGTGAAAAAAATGATGAAAATTCTTGTCTTCATAAAGTATAGATTCAGTTATTTTTCTAACAACTGTTTATTGAACAACTACTAGGCACTTAGAACAGAAAGGTACACAAACCATGATCCTTGCCCTTAATTAGCTCATAGTCTAGTCTAGGAAAGATAGGTAAAAATTAACTACAGTAAAATTCATAAATACCATGATTGGGATATGATTAAAGATTAAAGAGCCATGAGATCACGCAGAAGAAAGCAATTTACTGGGGGATGGGGGAAGTTCAGGGAATGTTTCAGAACGAGTATGATGTTTGATCTGAGTCTTGAAGGTTAAAAGTTATTTAGGCAAAGGAAGAGGTAAGGAAGGCTATTTCAGGCAGAGGGAATGGCATCTACAAAGGCAGTGAAGGGAAAGTAAGCAGAGCCCATTTGAGGAATGACTAACATTTTAATGGGGCTACAAAACAGGTGTTTGTGGCAGTGGACTGAGTTAGATGAAGCTGGGGTAACAAGTGGTAGTTAGATCAGGAGAGACCTGGCATTCTGTGTTCAAGAGTTTAGACTTGAGGGACTTCCCTGGTGGCGCAGTGGTTAAGAATCCTCCTGCCAATGCAGGTGACACGGGTTCGAGCCCTGGTCCGGGAAGATCCTACATGCCACAGAGCAACTAAGCCCGTGCGCCACAACTACTGAGCCCACGTGCCACAACTGCTGAAGCCCACGCACCTAGAGCGCGTGCTCCACAACAAGAGAAGCCACTGCAGTGAGAAGCCCATGCACTGCAACGAAGAGTAGCCCCCGGGCTCTCCGCAACTAGAGAAAGCCGGCAGCGCAGCAACGAAGACCTGATGCAGCCATTAATTAATTAATTAATTAAAAAAAGAGTTTAGACTTGACCCTGAAGGCAGGCAGGAGCTATTGAATGGTCTTATGCAGGGGAAGGACTAGCTATGTGTCTAGGAAGGGCAAGGCTAGAGGTGGTTAGGAAGCTATAGCAAGAGATAATGAGGGAATGAAAGACCTGAAACTAGAGAGTGAGGTTGGATTTGAGATATTTAGTAGGTAGAATTGACAGAAACTGGTGATGGTTAAGAGGAGTGTGCTAAATGGGGGGACTGACCGCAGTGCCCAGATGGATAGGATGCTGTTAATTTATGAGACCAGGAGCCTACTAGAGGGGAATAAAATCCAGGGAGATTGTAGATAAAGGTATCAGGTAGAAAAGTTCTGATGATTCATCCTGTCCCACCTTTAATTCCCACCCTAATTTTCTTTCCTCCCTCACCTTCCCCCTCCCTCCTCCTCCTCCTCCTTCCCTACTTGCTGGCGCTCTCTCCCTCCCTCCCCTCTCCCTTTCCTCTCACTCTCTCTTTTCTATAATTACAGATTCACAGTAAGATACAATGAAATGTATTGGGAAGTCTCATACATCCCAAGCCCACCACATCCCATGCCAGTGTCCCACACAACCACAATACAATATCAAGGCTGAGATATTGACATTAGTATAATCCACAAATTCAGATTTCACTGTTTTTACATGTATTCATTTGTGTGTGTGGTGTGGGTAACCATGTAAGAATTTTACTTTTCATCTTTTTAACAGAGTACTTCACAGAGCAAAAAAATTTAATTTTATAAGGGCCAGTTTATGAAGTTTTCCTTCTATGGATCATGCTTTTCATGTCAAGTCTAAGAGCTCTTAGCCTAGTCCAAGGTCCCCCAAATTTACTACTGTGTTTTTTCTAGAAGTTTCATAGTTTTATGTTTTACATTTAAGTCCATGTTCCACTTTGAGTTAATTTTTGTGCAAGTGTGAAGTTTGGGTCAGGTTTCATTTTTTTTTTTTTGCCAATGGATGTCCAGAATCATTTATTGAAAAGGCTGTTCCTCTTCCGTTGAATTGATTTTGCTCCTTTGTCAAAAATTAGACATATTCGTATGGACTTATTTCTCAGTTCCCTGTTCTGTTCCACTTATCTGTGTGTCTGTCCTTCTGCCAGTACCACTCTGTCTTGATTACTACCTCTGTATCAGTAGGTCTTGACATGGGGAATAGTAATTCCTCCTACTTTATTTTTCTGTTTCAAAATTGCTTTGGATATTCTAGGACCATGTTCTTTTCAAATAAATTTTAGAGTAAGTTTGCCTATATCTAAAAAGAAACTTGCAGAAATGGACAGGAATTGCATTAAAACTATAGATTAATGTAGGGATAGTTGACATCTTTACTGTATTGAGTCTTCCCGTACATAAACATGGTATGTCTCTCCAGTACTTTCTCCATCAGCACTTTTATAATTTTCATCATACAGCTCCTGACATGTTTTGTTCATTTCAAACATAAGTATTTAATTTTCTCTTGAGCAATTTGAAATCAAATCGTATTGCATTTTTAATTTCGGTTTCCACTTGTTTATTGTCAGTGTATAGAAATGTAATTGGTTTTTATGTGTTAATCTTGTATCACGTGACTTTTCAATGCTCATAAATGAGATTCCTGAACTCATTTATTTGCTTTAGGAGTGTTTTGTGGATTCCTTGGGAATTCCTATGTAGATAGTTATGTCATCTGTGAATAGAGACAGTTTTATTTCTTTTTTTCCAAATTGTATGCCTTTAATTTCTCTTGCGTTATTGTAGTACTAAAATAAGAATGGTGAGTGTGAGCACCCTAACCTTGCTTCCAGTCTTAGAGGGAAAACATTCAGTCTTTCACCACTAAATATGATGGTAGCTCTAGGTTTTTTGTAGATGCTCTTTATGAGGCTAAGGAAGTTTTTCCATCTATTCCTGGGGTACTGAATCATGAATCAGTGTTGAACTTTGTCAGATGTTTTTTCTGCATCATTTTATATGATCAAATGATTTTCCTTCTTTAACCTGTTGATACGGTGGATTACGTTGATTGATTTTTAAATATATCATGATATACATTGCATGACCTGGGGTAAATCTCATTTGGTTGTGGTATATTATTTTTATATACATTGTTGGATTTGATTTGCTAAAATTTTGCTGAGGATTTTTGTGTCTAAGTTTATGAGAAATATTGGTCTGTAGTTTTATTTTGTGGTGTTGGTATCAGGGTAGTACTGACCTCATAAAGTGAGTTAGGAAATATTCCTTCTTCTGTATTCTGGAAGAGATTATGTAAACTTTGTGTTAATTCTCTGAATGTTTGGTAAAATTCTCCAGTGAAACTATCTAGGCCTCGAGATTTTTTTTGGTGGGGGGGGAGCTTTTTAATTATAAATTTAATTCCTTTATTAGTTATAGAAATATTCAGGTTTTCTATTTAATTTTGGCTGAGTTCTGGTAGTTTGTGGTTCTTGAGGAATTGGTCCATTTTTTCTAAGTTGTCAAGTTTATGAATGTGAAGTTATTTGTAGTATTCCTTATTATCTCTTTAATGGCTGCAGGGTCTGTTGTAATGTTCCCTGCTTCATCCTTGATCTTGATGAATTGTGTCTTCTCTCTTTATCTTTGTCAGTCTTTATAAAGGTTTATCAGTTTTGTTGATTTTTTTTTTTTTTTTTTTTTGTGGTACGCTGGCCTCTCACTGTTGTGGCCTCTCCCGTTGCGGAGCACAGGCTCCGGATGCACAGGCTCAGCGGCCATGGCTCACAGGCCTAGCCGCTCCACGGCATGTGGGATCTTCCCAGACTGGGGCACGAACCCGTGTCCCCTGCATCAGCAGGTGGACTCTCAACCACTGCGCCACCAGGGAAGCCCTTGTTGGTTTCTTTTAAGAATTAGTATTTTGTTTCATTTTCTTTGTTGTTTTTCTGTTTTCAGTTACTTACCTTTCTTTTCCTTTCCAAGTGCTGACCCTTTTTTCTCTTCCATCAGGTTTCATCTCCATCTCCAAGGCCAAGGATTTTTACACCTCAGTCATCACTTGTGATGCCCTTGACACCTTCCCGTCCTAGCCCTTATCAGGGCTCCAGAATGCAGAATACAAGTGACTACAGGCCATCTGGGTTCCAGGAAGCCCAGTCTTTGCCTGTGGTCCCTGGGGTAAGGCCTGGTGAGTGACTGAGTGGAGACCTGTCTAGGCAGAGCACAGAGGAAAACATCTGGCATGGCCAGAATGGATTTGGGAGGCAGTATGTCTATCTAGTGAGAGGAGCTTAGAGTTTGAAGTCTGAATTCTCAGTACTGTCAGTTACTGGCTTTGTACCTGTGGGCAATATACCTAGCCACTTTGTTTCTTTTGAAAATTGAGAGTGGTTGTTATGTTGGTCATTTCAACCCCACAGGATTGTTCTGAGGGTCAAATAAGGAATATAGTTAAAAGTACTTTGTAAATGATAGATCTCCATACACATGTATTAGTTATTTTTTATTATTATAGTTTTTTTAATTGCTGCTTTATTCCTCTCTGATGTGCTCTGAGTCTCTCCCAAATTGAAATTTGGTGGCAAATGACCTGTTTCTATCCCATTTCAGCTTTATCTCAGCCGCAGCTGTCGGGAGGGCAAAGGGTGCAAGCTCCTAACCCCGCGGGATTCCCTGGAACATGGCCTCTTCCTGGTCCACCCACGGTACCCCCAGACATTATGCAGGCTGGTTCTGCCTCCCTGCCTGAGACTCCTCGAAGGCTCCCTCTGCTTCCTGTGAGAGCACCAGGCCTCAACCCTATGAGCTCCCAGCCGCCAGCCCCTCCTGTCACCTTCTCTGAAGCACACCCTCCAGGAGGGCCAGGTGCTCCATGCGCCGATACCTTCCCAACCACTGGCATCTTGACTCCTCAGCCAGGTCAGTCTTCTCCCATGGCCTCCCTCTCCTCCCTCTCCTCCCCTCCCCACTACCACCTTGGGAGTCTCTTTCCTCAAGCCAATGAACTGGGGTTGGAGAATGTCAACTCAGAGTGTGGCTGGTCTGTGGAGGGAGGTGTGGCAGACTCCAACTAAAATAATTTTCCTGGTCTTCAGACCAAAAATTACAGTGTTTTTGATCATGCCCCTAAAATACCTCTATATTTATACTATTCAGGACCTCAAGATTCCTTGGAAAATGCTCCAGTGCCCAGGGGAAACCTCCAGAGGAAAGAGGTCAACACATCTCCCCCCCACTCAACCCCTTATACATTCACCGATGACCCACACTCTAGTTCCGTACAGAAAGCAGCCTGGTCCTTCCCGTTCTGCTTTCCCCACTCACTCTTCTCCCCTCAGCTCCCTCCTCTTTCCTTCTTATACACATTCACCATCTTCTCACTTCCAGGTTCCCCACGCACTATTCTGTGCCCTCGTTCATTCATAATTTCTGCCACTCCCTCAAAGTAGGGCCGAAGGAGTCTTTCAGCTTAGACTCACGTGCCTTTCTTTTCTCTCTCTTTAGTTGCCAGAGACATTCATGCCCCCAGCACCAATTACTGCTCCAGTTATGTGCCTCACCCCTGAGCCACGAGGGGTCCTTTCCTCACAGCCTGCTGTCCCCAGTGTGAGTCATGCTCCCCCTGGAGCCCCAGGAGAACTTAGCCTGTAGGTGACAGGAATGATGTATTTCCCTCCTCTTGGAAACCTTCTTTTCTTGGGTATAGAAAAGCAGGGAGCACGGTAGATGGCTTCATTCCTCAAGTTGGAGGCAGACTCTGGGCTGAAGGAGATGGGGTGGGGGGCAGATACCAAGTGTCTCTACTGCAGACAAGGGAGGATGCCCCTCCTCAGCTCTGCTCTGCTCTAGTGGGAGCAATGTGACCCCCAAGTCACTGAGGACTAGTCCTGAGGGGAGCCATGAGCAGGACAGCTTGCCTCTCTCTCCTGTGTCCCTGCTCCCTCTTCAGCAACTTCAGCTGCCACCTGCGAAGATGGACAGGAAGGAGCTGCCCCCTGAACATCAGTCCTTGAATATCAGCTTTGAGGCGCTTCTGCAGCGCTGCTCCCTGTCTGCCACTGACATAGTGAGTCTGAACCTTCCCCATGATGCTCCCCTCCTACCCTAGCTGGTCCCAGGACCCCTTAGCTGTAGACCAGTTCCTTGTGTGACTCTTCTTACTGTCCCTGGACATGCTGCCTGTATCTTATACTTGTTTGATGTCCATGTGGAGTTGGGGAGGACTTGTCTGGTCTGGAGGTTATCTCCTTGGCAGCAAGACCAAACAGCACTGAGACTTAGTGCTTGGAAAGGCCGCAGGGAGTACTGCAAGGAGGGTGAGACCAGGAGTGAGGAGACCTGCCATTCATTCCTGGCTGCGTCAGCTTGAGTGAGTCACTTGGCCTCTTCAGGTCTCCTTTTTGTCCTCCGTGAAATGAAAGAGCATTAAGCCATTCTAGCTCTAAGGTACCGTGATTCTTTATGGTTCTGTGTAGTGTTAGGCATAGTAGCTGGAATCAGAATCCATTTCCCTCCCTGCAGAAGACAAAACGGAAGCTGGATGAAGCAGCCCAACGTCTAGAATGTCTATATGAGAAGCTCTGCGAAGAGACAGTAAGTACAGGCAGTGGTGCTCCTCTGCCTCCTGCTCTTCCACCTTCACCCATGGCCAAAGGGTGCCCAGTGTCCCTTCCTATGGGCCTCACCGACCCTGGGTTCCTTACAGAGTATAGATATCTTGCCTGGACTGGGCTCTAGAACTTAAGTCCTCTCTTCTCCCTTCCATGCCTCCAGGGTAGGGGCGGGGTTGGGCTTACTGACTGCGCGCTCTCGCCTCCTGTCCTGACTGGGCTCCACGAGGTTGCCCAATGTGTGGACGCAGGACGCTTTGAGCGGGGCCTCGCTGTGCATGCTCAGGTGGTGAGCTGCAGCAGCTTCAGCGAGGTCTCCAGCTTCATGCCTGTCCTGAAGTCCGTCCTCACCATCGCTTATAAGCTACACATCTAGACCAGGCAGCTCCTCTTGCCAGGAGGCCACTTCTACTTTACTTAACTCCTTCCTGCAGGAAAGGGGAATTTCGGAACAGATTCCGTTTGTTTTTCCTAGCCCTCTTCCCTTGCTGCCAGGTATATGATGCTGTAGGCTTGGCTCCAAACAGGCAGAGTGCCTGCTCTCCGCCCCTTTATGCGTGGCCCTCTGGGATCTGCTCAGGGCTCTCTCAGCCTGTTCTTCTTCACTTTCCCTAAAACTGTACTCCAACAGGGCCTGGCGCAGTGTGTCTTCTCCCCCAGGGATATTCTAAGTGGCTTCTGAGAGGGTGAGCAGGATCGTTACTTCCAAGTCTACCTCGACTGTACCCATCTTTTGGGTCTTTTGTCTTTCCCCTTCTGTGGGTTATGAGCCTGACTTTACCTTTTCCTTGCCTCTGACTTCATATTTCCAGGTTCATACTTCTCTGAGCCACAGAGGCTGGGGTAGAGTTGACTGCTGTTCACCCTTTGAACAAGTCATACACATGAGGGATGGGTGCTGAGCACAACGAAGAGAAGGAACTCAGACCCTTTTAAGAAGGGACCTCTCAACTGCCAGCATTGTTAAGGGTGGGCTAGGTGAGGTGGAGGGTGGATGGCATACCTTTTGCTGAGAGCTGTCTTAGGCTATGGGATAGGAGCAGAGGGACCACTACCTGTGTGGAGTGGCCCCTGACTCAGCCTGCCTGATCCCTGGCCCAAGGCCTAGACCACTCATTCTGTGATTAGAAGCCAGGTTCTGGAATAGGAGCCATATTAATGAAAGAGTCTTCTAGCACTGTTCTTCAAGGCTTGGAGGCCCTCTTCCCACAGCCCCACACTTCTCAGGGCTGCCTTCTCTGGCTGCGCTTTCATGGTTGGACTCTGCATTTGAAGCACTGATGTACCTTATGTGCAATAAAGCTGCTTTAGTTTGGTTTCCTCCCAATTATTATCTCCTCTAGGTCCTATTTTGCTCTTATGTGTCTTCCCAGTCCTTTTTGTTCTTGTTCCCTATACCCTAATAAGGCAGGGGAGAGACTTGGGGACAGATAGGAAGTCAGGAGAGTTGAAGAAAGAGGTGGCACTGAATTAGGCTCTCCTTGCAGCATTTATGGTCACTCTGCTGTGTGTGTGTGTGTGTGTGTGTGTGTGTGTGTGTGTGTGTGTGTGTGTCCTCCATCCATGCCTGACATTCAGCTCCAGGGTTTTCCCCACACCACTTCAGGGCTGAGCTCAGCTACACAAAAGGGGCTGGGTGTGAAGCCAGGGGTACGATCTCTAATCCTGTTGTAGATCGCATCATGTCTGCGGGCTAGATGTGTGTGTTTGGGAGGAAAGGATTGTTAGGCAGTATTTGTTTGTAAAGCCACTTGCTCTTCAGATAATACTTGCACTAACTTCTATTGATGAAGCAGTGTGAGCCCCAGCAAAGTCCTTTCCCAAAGTGTCTTTGAAGCCAAGAGCCCATTGAAGGGAAGAAAGGCCGGGAGAGGGGATTAGTTTGTTCAGCAGCTGTGAATTTCAGTGGGAGGTTGATGAACTCTGAAGTCTTTGTTTAAATTAAAGGTGGGGAGAAAAAAGCCGCTGCTGGAGCGAGAGCCTCACTTGGGGCCCTGAACTAACACAAGGAGAAGTCTGAGCTGCGGGGAGCTGTGTACTGACTGCGAAGACTTTTCCCAAACACTTTTCGGGAAAGGTGTTATGAGAAGAGAAGGGGGCGGAGTGGGGGATTAGCATGTGAAATGAAGTTTTCATTGACTCCGTGGGGGTAGAAGGCTATTTTAATGGCATTTTGTTCTCTTATTTTCTCTTCTTGAGCTCTTTAGAGATATTGTTTTGCTAAGGCAGGCTTTCTTCCCCCTTCTTTCCAGTCTTCGGATTGCCTCTATGGGAGCCAACATAAATATTTCTCCTCCAGGAATGCGGGTTAATTAAAAGGAAATGAATGAGTGGAAGCATCCAATCCAGACCCACAATAGGCGAGTGCCCTGGCCTGCCCTTCCCTCCCACCACCACCAGCAACGCCAGCGCTGAGCACGACCCTGTCTCTGTCTTTGCCCTAACCTGCTGCTGAGGCCAGTTGAGGCTGCGATTCTTTCAAGAAAAGAAAGCCCTGCCTGTGTGTAGGCTCACAGGCTAGGGACAGGAAGGAGACAGTGTTTTGTCCCCTCCACCCAGCGTCCTTGTCACTTCTCAGGACCTCCCTCTGCTTCTGTCCCCTGGCTGAGACAGATGGACTCCTAAAGAGCACACAAGAGGAGGGAAGGGGCCTGGGTTCCAGGACTCACCCCACGGTACCTTACTAGTTGGTGGAACAAGCCACACATCTTTCTCAGCATCAGTTTAAATCTGTAAAACAGAAGGTTTCACTAGCTGACCTCGAAGGTGTCTTCCCAAGCAACTGGTCTGGTTGTCCACATTTATAAAGGGGAACACAGCACTGGTGATTGATTATAAGAGAGAACCTACACTCCATGAATGCAGAAGGTCAGTGTGTTGTTCACCACTGTATTTCCACTCTGGTGTTCATTGAATGAATAAATGAATGAATAGATAATGCAAGAGGGGGGAAAAAGCAATCCAGATCTAAGGTAGCTCAGTATTGTTTTCTTTATAGATGCAAATGAATGTGGTATCAATCATATCCATTTGGGAATACAAAACAACGTATGAAGGAACTTTCTGGCTGCATGACATGTTTCAAGTACTGACCTGGAGTTATCAAATGTGGAGCACAATAGTTCTCCTACTAGTATGCTGAGAGACCTCCTGGAGAATGTCGCTTTCCTTTAGAACATTGTACTTTTATATTTAGCTGCCTTGCCAGATTTTCTTACTGTACACTATCAAGTAATTCTGCCAAGTGAGACAGCCAAGTTAGTACATGCTGCTGCTTCATTAGGGACGAAGGGTGAGTTGGGAGATTCAAGAGGCCCAGATCAAAGCTGAGGGAAGGAGCAAAAGGCCTTTTGCTGATGGAACTGGAAATGAAGCACTAGGAGACCCTGAAGGGAAGCATGTCCCCTGTAAGGAGGGAAGGGGAACCTCTCTCCTCAGTAAGTGTTAGTGGGACCAGAAGATGTGTAGGGATGAGGCCAGGGATTTGAGGTCTGACCTGGCCATTGTGTCAATTTGGAATATGGGAGCCTTTCCACTGTCACTGGTCAGCCTTTAGAGCCTCCACCCATTTTACCCACTTGGAGCCACTCCTCCTCTGTGCTTTCTCCTGTTCTACAAGAAGTGAGATGAAGTTGTCTAGCATTTGAGCAGTTCTGCTCCGGAAGGGCTGCGGGGCTACCTGGTGCCTATGACCCAGGACCAGCCTAGGGGAAGGGGGATGACTGGCAAGCTCCTTGGGCTGCAGAGGGTCTGTCAGGGATTAGTTCTTCCCTTCCCAGAGCCCTATTTCACCAAGTCCCTCTTGTACTACTGCTTTCTGAGAAGAGAACCAGAAGACTCAAGCACAACCAGCAGCAAGGTCTTAGCTACTGAGTGAATGTATTAGTGGAAGATTTATGGGGCTGATTCACTAATCCTTTGCAGATTAACCTCTGTCAGGTCAGGATAACTACTTAGGCCATCAGGGAAGTGAGGCTCACAGGAGGATAGTATCCTGGCAAGGTGGGAGGGAGGAGAGGACCTAGAGGTTATATCTTATACACGCTCTTCCCCATATCCCCAAGAATAAGTTCAATACCTGAAAAAAAGGCACATGTCACAGTGACTGCAATAAATTAAGGTTCAAGGTGCTGAACTTCCTATTAACAGTTTCATTACAGGAAGTTTATGTATTGAAGGAAAGTATCCAATGCCTGAATCCTGCCTGTTTGAGAACCAGGTTAGTGAAAAGGAAGGGTCCCAGCTTCTCCTTCCTCATGACCTGTTTTCAGAGGTGCAAACCAGGGTCTGAATGGGAAATTAGCTTTATTTATCTCAGTCTTGGCTCAGGGGAATAAGATCCTTTGGGGAAAGAGAAGACGTAAAGTTGGTTGCTAGGAGGCTATAGGTTAGGAGCAGGGAGGAGGTTACTTTAAAGGGTAGGAAATGACTGGCAGTCTGCCCTTACATCATTCCTAGATGTCGTGGGTATGTGTCTGGAGCACCTTGGGTGATTGTCTAGGAAGGTCATTGCCCCACTGGCAAAGTCCATTAGAGACATGGTATCACAAGGATGAGTGGCACCCTTGGTTTTCAGCAAGTCAGCATTCTAGGGTTCCCATTTCCTCCATCTTCAACCCCTGCCTCTAGGAACCAACCTCCAAAGACATGCTTTTTCCTGGGTCAGTTTCCTCAGTATCCCTTCAGGGAAGGAAGGAAGGAAAAGGGGGAGAGAAAGAGATTCCTGGGGAGTCTATGCCAGCAGTTAGGGAATCAGAAGCACAGGAGGGCCTCTGCAGAAGGAAGATGAGGCTATGGCAGAGAGCTGGCAGCAGAAAATTGAGGGGGAGGGGGTGGGGATGGGGGGGGAAGACGGGTAAAAGAAAAAAGCCGTGTTTTCCCTGGGCCCTGCCTATCTCGGAAGGGTTCTTCCAGTTCCTAAGCTTTCCACAGGCTAGGCCAGGCATTAGGGCAGCTGGGACTGGGAGGAGGAACGCCTATTCTCTTCCTACTCCAAGGAAGATCAATAGCTCAGAATCTCAGAACAGAGGTTTCTCAGACCTAAGTGGTGAGCAGACGATGCAGACAGCGCGAGGAGAGAGCAGAGGAATTGTGGAAACAGGTTGGGAAGTGGCAAGCACAGGAGAGATTGCAGCGTCTCTCTCCCTCTCGGGATCCCTGGCCTTGGTAGTGTGGGGTCCCTATTCCCTAGATTCCTCTACTGCTGGGGTCTCTAAAAGAAGCCAAGGACAAATTGGGAAAGGAGAGTGGGGAAGGGGACCCTTAGGGTTTTCTCCCGGGTTTGTGCGCCGCGCCCCCCCGCGGCCGGTCCGCGCGACTGCAGAAGTACTTGGTGACCCGGCGGCGGCACTGCTCGCAGCGGACCGCGCAGCACCAGTGGAACTTGCAGTTGCAGCTGGACACGGTCTCGGCGCGGCGCTCCTCCACCGCTAGCCCACAGTCCCCGCAGAGCCGACGGCAGCTTCGGCGCTCCCAGCGGCCCAGGGCCCGGCCGCGCCGCAGGCACTCTCTGCCTTCGGTGCCCAGCAGTCCTAGCGTTTTGTTCTCCAGGCAGTAGTCTGGGGAGTCCTCCAGGTGCACCAGCTCCCTCGTGGAGATGGAGCGAAAGGTGTCTGCGATGGCGCCGCGGCCCGCCGCGCTGTTGCCAGCACCCTGCAGCAGGTCCACCTTGAGAGCTGCGTGGTACTTCTCTTTCAGGTGCGCGCCCACCTCTCGGAACTCAGGCAGCTGCAGCCAGCAGGTCTGCGTGGTGCAGCTGCCAGACACGCCGTGGCACTTACACGTGCGTTTCATGGTGCCCTTCACCGCCTGGGAAGAGAGCTAGGAGTGAGCGGGCCAGGGATTAAGCGCCTGGGGAGTGTCACCCTCTGGCGGATTGCGAGGATTCTAGCTAGTCTACGTGCCAGCTGCCTCGATGCCGCATTTTCCCAATCTGATGAATGAATTGAAGAGCCGTCCGCACCTAGGGCTGGTAGTGGATGGAGCCAGCTGCCTGACCCCCGGAGCTGCAGGACTCACCTTGCGGCCAGCCTCGTTGTTGTGCAGGTTCATGGCTGCCCGAGCATCCTGTCCTGTCTCCAGGGCATCGACGAACTGCTTGGATATTGCCTCTCCGAAGCCCACGTTGTCGCTGCAGCCTCCCCACAGCCAGCCTTGGCCCCCTGGAAAAAAGGCAGTGGGAAGAAGGGACGGCCTGGAGCCTCCTGGGCTGCTGGTTCTAAGTGGGTTTGGGGGATCTGAGGTGGGGAAGGGTTCAGGTGGGGCGAGTGCCCTGTCTCCAAATTAGTTTCACCCTAGATTTGTTTTTGCCACCTTTGTGCTCCTACTTCCAGCTTCAGCCAATCCCGTGTCCCAGGACATAAGTAGCTGCCAAGTGAGGCAGGTGCCTGCTCACCCCGTTACTATGTTTCTGGCCTTTGGGCAGAGTATGCAGACCTCCGCCAGCAACTGACGTCTGGAAGGGACATGATGGTGCAAAAAAGGTGAGGAAAGCACAGCATTGAGGGGGAGAGAGAAGGGCAATTGAGATAATACAGAACAGCAGTTGGCAGTTGAGCTGCAGGGCAGAGGGTTGGAAAGGATAGTGGAGGTAAACAGTGGAAAGGAGACAGGGATAAGCAGCATGGAAGGGCATTCCCCCTATGTTTGAGACAGTAATAGGAATGATTCTGAAGGCAGGGTTCTTCCTTTATCATTATTGTGTTTAAATTAAGGAAACCACCCAGTCAGAGAAGGGTCCCCAGCTACATTTAGCCTGGTTTGTCACTGTAGGGTTTGGGCTCAAACTGGTTCGCCCTGATTTTCCTCAGATTTAGAAGAATACAACTCTTTTTCACCCCACCAAGTACCCACCAAGCTTTTCACTACTTAAGTGAACTTCATTGGGCTGCCCTACCCACTCTCAAGATCACTACTCACCCAGTTGCCCATTGCGGGAGTCATCACAGCCACAGTTGTCAAAATCCCCAAGGCTGCAGTTTCTAGTCAGAGTGTACATAACCCCAGCAGAACTGATAGCATGTACAAATGCTGTCTCCCGATTAGCTGACAGGAACCAAAAATGAGTGAGTTAGAGGGAGGAGTTACAGCCCAAAGACATACCTTTAATACCATCATTACACCCGCCTCTCCCTGCTCCATTCTATTTCCCCACCTTTATAATGTACCTTACTCTCTTCCAGGGTCTGCTCTAGCCCTGGTGTCAGCCCTGCTCTTCTTCCTTCCCATCTTTTCAGGTCACACATTTTATGACTGAGTGGCTAGATTATTTGATATGGGTGAGATTTAGGTGGGAACGAGCCCAAGAAAGAAATGGGGGAGAATCTGAATGTCAGGTTGTAAAGAACCCATCCCCACTTCCTCCTGGAACATTGAAGTGTGAGAGGCAGGTGCTAGCTAGTCCTGAAAAGAACCACTGATTGGCAGCTCTTTCACTTCCTTGCATGGCTGCTTTTTATCTTCTCCATGGGAATCTGGGCTCCAAGTCAGTTCCCACTTGCCCTGTACCTCTCTGCTAAGCCTGCTGAAGGAAGGGGCTAAGAGGCATGAAGATTTATGACCCCTACCTACCTTATTTATATTTTGAGGAAGACTTTAGCCAGCCAGGAGACTGAGGGTGGTATAGGATTGGGGGTGAGGCAAGGTCCATTTGTTGAGCAGTGAGGGTGTTGGGGAAGAAAGAAAAAAGCTCTATAGGTAGGAAAGAGGAGCTGGAGAAGGAACAGAGAAGATGCTGGAGAGGGAGATGACCTGAGAGCAGAGACCAGCTGAGGAACAAGGGTGTAGAAGAGGCAGGGGGCCATCCCTGGAGAGTGGGGCTCTAACCTGTGGCCAGGGGGTCCAGGGAGCTGTGGCCGAGGCTTTCCTTACCACTGCGAAGGCCGCCATGGCTGGACAGCTGCAGGGCTCTCTCAGGGCAGTTCCAGCGGTCCCAGGCAAACTGGTATTTGCATTCTTCAATTCCACTCTGGGCACCAGCTGCCACGCTGCTGGAGTAGATCAAGTAAGCCTGCAGGGACACAGGGGTCAAACTTCAGACTCACAGCAACTGAACTTGTGAGGCATTTGCCCTAAAGTGGCCAAGCACCTCTTTTCCTGTGCACTCCTATCCCTCCAAAATAATGACAGAGTAAGCACTTTAAATATGCTTTTAACATCACAAATAACATCACAAATAAACTTAAGTAGAAACCTAAGCCTCAGAGAGGTGATGTAAAACAGTTTGCCCAAGGTCCCACCACTAGCAAATGTCTGAAGTAGGAATGAAAATCAGTTTCATTAGACTCTAGACCTCACTGCCTCTATTCATTATACTATTCTGTCACTCCAGAATGAGCCTCAATTACATAATTCATGAATTTTCAGCCATTTTCATCCTACTGCTAGCTTAGAAGAGAACATTTTGTAAGCTGGTAATGTCCTTAGAGATCATGTAGTACAATGCCAGCACTTGAAAGGTGGAAGACAGCCTCCCACCCTGCGCTGAGAAGGATGGGTGACTGTAGCCTGACACTGAGAAAGAAAACTTTTCTGGCTCTGGAAATTCTGGTCATAAATTCAGAGTCAGTATTCCTGAGTTCTTGTCCTGGCTCTGACACTAGTTTGCTGTGCGGTTTGGGGTGTGTCTGTAACCATTTCTGTGCCACAGTTTTTCTGCCTATAATATATACAGCATAATAAAAGATATAATAAAAGATATTGATATGTGTAGTCTTCAGTCAAGAAGCTGAGTGAAATCCAAATAAATCGAAGGAATTTTTTTTCTTACCTTTGGACCAGTCATCAGGAAATTGTTCACTGACCTGGAAGAGAGAAAAACCACAGAACATAACAGAGATACACCAATTCATTTCTGCTGCCAAGAGTTGTGAGAATTACTTCAGCAAACATGCAGGCACACCTCAGAGATATTACTGGTTTGGTTTCAGACCACTGCAGTAAAGTGAATATCACAATAAAGCCAGTCACGTGAATGTTTTGGTTTCCCAGTGCATATAAAAGTTATGTTTACACTATACTGTAGTCTGTTAAGTATGCAATAGCATCATGTCTAAAAAAATACAATGTAAGTGCCTTAATTAAAAAATACTTTATTATTAAAAGTGTTAATCGTCACCTGAGCCTTCAGCGAGTCGTAATCTCTTTGCTGACAGAGGGTTTTGCATCGATGTTATGCTGCTGACTGACCAGGGAGGTGGTTGCTGAAGGTTGGGGTGGCTGTGGCGATTTCTTAAACTAAGAGTAAATTTTGCCGAATTGATTGGCTCTTCCTTTCATGAATGATTCCTCTGTAGTAGGCAATGCTGTTTGATAGCATTTTGCCCACAGTAGAACTTCCTTCAAAACTGGAGCCGATCCTCTCAAACAGTGCCACTGCTTTATCAACTAATTTATGTAATAGTCTAAGTCCTTTGTTGTCATATCAACAATACTTACAGCCTCTTTACTATGGGTAGATTTCATCTCAAGCAACCACTTTCTTTGCTCATCCATAAGAAGCAACTTCTCATCCATTCAAGTTTTATCATGAGATTGCAGCAATTCAGTCACATCTTCAGGCTCCACTTCTAACGCTAGTTCTCTTGCTCTTTCTACCACATCTGCAGTTACTTCCTCCACTGAAGTCTTGAACTCTACAAAGTCATCCATGAAGATTGGAATCAAGTTCTTCCAAACCACTGTTAATGTTATCTTTTGACCTCTTCCCATGAATCATGAATGTTCTTAATAATCTAGAATGGTGAGTCCTTTTCGGAAGGTTCTCAATTAACTTTGCACAGATCCATCAGAGGAATCTATCTATGGCAACTATAGCCTTATAAGATGTATTTCTTAAATAATAAGACTTGAAAGTGAAAATTACTCCTTGATTTATGGGCTGCAGAATGGATGTTGTGTTAGCAGGCATGAAAACAACATTAATCTCACTGAACATCTCCATCAGAGCTCTCAGGTAACCAGGTGCATTGTCAATGAGCAGTCATATTTTGAAAGGAATCTTTTTTTTTACCTGAGCAGTAGGTCTCAACAGTGGGCTTAAAATATTCAGTAAACCACGTTGTAAACAGATGTGCTGTCATACGGGCTTTGTTATTCCATTTATAGAGCACAGGCAGAGGAGACTTAGCATAATTCTTAAGGGCCCTAGGATTTTCAAAATGGTAAATGAACATTTGCTCCAATCTAAAGTCACTAGCTGACTTAGTCCCTAAAAGAGAGTCAGCCTGTCCTTTGAAGCTTTGAAGCCAGGCATTGACTTCTCCTCTCTAGGTATGAAAGTCCTAGATGGCATCTTCTTCCAGTAGAAGGCTGTTTCATCTACATTGAAAATCTGTTGTTTAGTTTCGCCTCCTTCATTAATTATCTTGGCTAGATCTGGAATCTGGATAACTTGCTGCAGCTTTTATATCAGCATTTGCTGTTTCCCCTTGCATTTTTATGTTATGGAGATGGCTTCTTTCCTTAAGCCTCATGAACCAACCTCTGCTAGCTTCAAACTTTTCTTCTGCAGCTTTCTCACCTCTCTCAGGCTTCATAGAATTGAAGAGAGTTAGGGCCTTGCTCTGGGTTAGGCTTTGGCTTAAGGGAACGTTGTGGTTGGTTTGATTTTCTATCCAGACCACTAAAACTTTCTCCGTATCAGCAATAAGGCTGTTTCACTTATCATTCTTGTGTTCACTGGAGTAGCACTTTAAATTTCCTTCAAGAACTTTTCCTTTGCATTCACAATGCAGCTAACTGTTTGGGGAAGAGGGCTAGCTTCCGGCCTGTCTTGGCTTTTGACATGCTTTCCTCACTAAGCTTAATAATTTCTTGCTTTTGATTGAAAGTAAGTGACCCTTGTTTTCATTTGAACACTTAGAGATCATGATGGGGTTATTAATTGGCCTAATTCCAATATTGTTGTGTCTCAGAGAATAGGGAGGCCCAAGGAGAGGGAGAGAGATGGGAATGGCTGGTGGGTGGAGCAGTCAGAACCCCCACATTTATTGTTTGCCATCTTATATGGGCATTGTTTGTGGTGCCCCCAAATAATTACAATAGTAACATCAATTTTTTTTTGGCCGCGCTGCACAGCTTGCAGGATATTAGGTCCCCGACCAGGGATTGAACCCAGGCCCATGGCATTGAAAGCAATGAGTCCTAGTCACTGGACCGCTAGGGAATTCCCACATCAAAGATCACCATGACAAATATAAAAGTAATGAAAAAGTTTGAAATATTGCAAGAATTACCAAAATGTGACACAGAAACACTAAGTGAGCAACTGCAGTTGGAAAAATGGCACCAATAGATTTGCTCAATCCAGGGTTGTCATAAACCTTCAATTTGTAAAAAATACAAGATCTGTGAAGCACAATAAAGCAAGTCTGTAATTGAGAGGAAGAAAGGGAAAATGGTTTTTCCAAGGAAAAATTTTGCATAAGGAATCTACTTAATTTAGTTTTAAAAAAAAAAGAACATGTACAAAAGGAGCTAGTATTATGCTTTGCTTGGATTTTTAAAACTTCAAATACCAAAAATGTTGGGAGTAATATTTGATCGTTATTTTGCCATGGAGTGGGAAGAGAGCTAGCATTAACTTGCTGCTGTCTACCAGACACTCTACTCTCAGTATTTTACATGTTGATGTTGTTAAATCCTTACTATCTTGGGCATTGTTATCCCTAGTTTTCAAATAGGGAATCTGAGACTCAAAAAAGTTAAATATATTGTTCAAGCTCACCCAGTTAATTAGTGATTGAAGTAAGATCTGAATCCAGGTCCATCTGACTCCACAGGACTCTGAGAAGGATAGTTCTCTAATCAGAAAGAGGTAAACAGTGGAATAACTTTCTAGGGATTGAGTCATAATTAAATTCGAAAAATAAATAATCTGATTCTGGAAAATAGTTTGGCTGTTCCTTTCAAAACTAAAAATGGACTTGCCACACTACTTAGCAGTTCCACTGTTGGGCATTTATCCCAGAGAAATGAAGACTTATTTTTACTCAGGACCTTGTATTCAGATGCTCATAGCAACTTTATTCAGAAAAACCAAAAATTGGAAACTACCCAGATGTCCTTCAAAGGGTGACTGGTTAAAAAAACTGTGGTACATCCATACCATGGAGTGCTACTCAGCAACAAAAAGGTATGAACTGTTGATACACACAAAAACTTGGACGAACCTTAAGGAAATTAAACTGAGTGATCAAAGCCAATCTCAAAAGGATACATACTGCATGATTTCATTTATGTAGCAATGGTTAAATATGTAATTATGGAGCTAAAGACTAGACTAATGGTTACCAGGGGTTAGGGATAGGGGATGGATACCACTATAAAGTGATAACACCAGACAGTCTTGCGCTTATGGTAAAGTGTCTTGATTGTGGTATGGTTTTGCAAAGCTATACATGTGGCAAAATTGCATCGAGCTATACACATACATACATATATACATACACACACAAATAAGTGTATGTGAAACTGGTTGAAGTCTGAATAAGCTTCATGGATATTGTACTATAGCTGTAAGATGTTAACACTGGGGGAGGCTGGGGAAAGGGTGTGTGGGACTTCCCTGCATGTTTCTTTGCAACCTTCTGCAAATCTATAATTATACAAAAATTTAAAATATACATACAGGGGCTTCCCTGGTGGCGCAGCGGTTGAGAGTCCGCCTGCCAATGCAGGGGACACGGGTTCGTGCCCCGGTCCGGGAAGATCCCACATGCCGCGGAGCGGCTAGACCCGTGAGCCATGGCCGCTGAGCCTGCGCGTCCGGAGCCTGTGCTCCGCAACGGGAGAGGCCACAAAAGTGAGAGGCCCGCGTACCGAAAAAAAGAAAGAAAGAAAAAAATATATATATATACACACACATACATACATACATAATCTAGAGTGCCGGAGATTTGGCAAATGGACTTCAGCATAGGCATTTGAAAATTAATCCAAATATATTACCTATTATCTTTCTTTTTCCATTATAATGGGAGAAAGTAACATGGGAATCGTTATGTATTATTCCATGAAAGTTGGTGTAACCTGCATTTCCAAAGGCCAGTAAGATGCTGGCCATCACAGAAAGTGGGTTGGAAATGAAAAAGGCTAAGAAAGTTCAGTTTCTCATCAGAGGCCAAAATAGCTTGACTGGCATCATACAGAACACACACAACACCTAAAATACAGGTAGTTTTTGACAAACAGTATCAATAAACTGAGATGCTGCCATATGAGAGAAGATGGAAAAGGTTCAGAAAGGAATATAACAGACTTTTAGAAAATCATAAAAGACTACAGAGTCTAGCAAAACCAACGCCTACTTTTTAATGCTTGGCAAGCAAAATTAAAGAAGCAGTAAATAAAAAGAAGCAGTACTCTCTTGGGGACAGTAGTACCAGCAAAGCATAAAAATAAATTCAAAATGATGTGAATGAACTCATAATTGTCAAAGCCAGTATGGGTTTGGAGATAAATTTCTGATCCTTAAAGACTAGTGTCAGACAAGTCAGCCAGTTCCTGTGCCTCAGATAAAGAAGCCTGAGCTTTCTGTGTCTCAGAGCGGCAATCTTTATGTGAGGGATAACTTTTGAAGACTTTTATACGTTACCAGGCCAGACAGAGGCTAGTTTCCATTCCACAAGACAGACAGACAGTATCAGGAAAGAAAACAAAGCAACAAAATGAAGACTGGGTGGCAGCCAAAGGAGAAAGCTTAACGGTGAGCCTGGGTCAAGAGACTTCCTTTGAGAGGACACTGAGTTGAAGTCACAGAGAGTGATGAGCAGAGATGCTAGAAGATTCTTCTTTCCTCGAAGATCCTACAGTATGTAGAGATTTGTATGATATGCTGGTATAGCCTAGTTGATTAATCAATCAGATGTAATTGAGCACTTGCCATATGACACAACTGTAGGCCTTATTTGGACAATATTCCCGTAAGTTGACTTGGGTTGTTAACCCCCGAGGTATTTGCAGATATATTTGAACCACATGGCAGGGGTTACTTGTATCCAGTATGAAGAAAAGACTCCAGTATGTCCTTGCGCTCCGCACCAAAGGAGGAGGGTCTTGTCCTTGATTAATGAGATGATGGCAAGGTGTCCTTTTGAGGAGTAAAATAGAATATGGATTACAGAAAGCCTGGTGAGTGTGTAATGTGAGGAGAGCAAAAGAGGAAAGAATTTAAGCGTTTGTATGGGTGCCACCTAGGGACAGTAATATGATTAAAGGAAAGATGCTAACAAACAGTGGAAGACAGAGACAGCTTTACAGAACATGGTCCAAGCAGCATACTACTAGACGAAGGTGCAAGCTTCCCATTCCCTATACGTACAATTGCTGATGACACTGCACAGGTTGGGTGTCAGTCAAAGGGTTTGTGTCTTTCTGGACCCTCCCAACTCTTCTCAGACCTTTTGTTAAACTCCAGACTTGCATATCCAACTATATTCCTTTTTTCTAAAGAACTAGGGTTTGAGTCCTAATTTTTTTTTTTTTTTTGGCCATGCTGCACTGCACGGCTTGCAGGATCTCAGTTCCCTGAGCAGGGACTGAACTAGGGTCCCCTGCAGTGGAAGCACGGGGTCCTAACCACTGGACCACCAGGGAATTCCCCCAACTGTATTCTTGACATCTCCACTTCAATCTTTAATAGGCAGCTCAAACTTAACACGTCCAAAACTGAACTCTTGATCTTCGCTGCCACCATTTCAAACCTGCTCCTCCCATTGTCTTCCCTATCTAAGGAATGGACAGTTCTTTCTTCCATTGGCCGGACAAAAATCTTGGAGTCATCTTTGACCTTTCTTTCTCTCACATCCTGTAGTCAGTCTGTCATCAACTCCTGCCAGCTCCAGATCAAATTATATCCAGACTCTAACAGATTCCCAATACCTTCACTGCTGTCACCCTGGTCCAAGCTGTCATTATCTCATGCCTAGATTATCATTAAGGCCTGCAAACTGATCCCCTTGCTTCCACCCTTATTCTCCCGTAATCTATGCTCAAAAATGATTGGTCCCTTTAAAAAGTGATCCACTTAAACTATAGATCAAATTTTGCCACTCTCTGCTCAAAATCCTCCAGTGGTTTTTTATCTCACATAGAGTGATAGCCAAATTCTTATTGTGGTTTATAAGATCCTATACAATCTGACACCCAGTTAGGCCTCTGGCCTAATCTCCTACTACTCTCCCCTCACTTACTCTGCTCCAGCCACACTGGTCCCCTTGTTGTTCCTCCAACACACCAGGCACTCTCCAGCCTCTGGGCCATTGCACTTGCTGTCTTTTCTGCCTGGAATGCTTTTTACTCAGATAGCCACACAGCTTGTTACTTCACCTGCACTGGCCTTTTAATCAAATGTGTCATTCTCTCTGAGGTTTTCCTGGATCATCTATTTAAAAATTCCCCCACCCCTTTCTCTGCTCCATTTTTCTCCACAGCACTTTTCATCATCTGAACCCTAGGTTTTACATCTTTATTTGTATATTCTCCTTCCACTAGACTGTAAAGCTTCATTAGGCAGGTTTTTTTTTTTTTGGTCTGTTTTGTTCACCAAGTATTATCAGTGCCTTGAACAGTGCCTGAGGATAGTAAGCATTTAATAAGTATTTGTTGAATGAAAGAACAAAGGAACTCACATTTAGGGGTAGGAGCAGGAAGAAGTATCATCTGAGGAAACTCAGAAGAAACAGCAATCTAGAGAGATGGGGGAAAGGAGAGAATCCTTCATTCGTGCCCAAGGTCTTACCACCATGATTATGCAATATCTCCCAAATCTTTACCTCCAACCCTGACTTCCATCTTGAGATCCAGAGCTGCATTTCCAAATGAATGCTAGACTTCTCTCCTGGGAATGTATCAAATTGTGAGGACAGTATGTTTATTTTTTTTAATTTTAACTATTTAATATTAAAACACACTTTTCAAATAACTCCAATGCCTATTCCAAAATATTAACAATGATAATATGATATGAACACTTATGGGATATGGTTAAAACTTGCATTTTTTCTTACAAGGGAAGCACACAGCTATTAGAAAGCACTCTCAATAACAGTATAATCCTCAAAGGTTGGGGTGGGGTGGGCAATTGGTGCAAGAGACAAGAAAATAGTAGATTATCTGTGAAAAAGTCTTCCTGGAGATTGTACTTAGCCTCCCTCCCCACTCTCATGCTGGTTGAAAATCACTGTTATATTGAGAGAAAAACTCTCCTTTTTTTTTAAGAATTAAAAAAAATTTACTGTGTGTTCTTTTGAAATCAGCACAGTGAACCTAAGAAAAATAGGTAACGTAATCAAAAAGGTAAAAGCAAAAGTTAAAGAATTAGAAGACAGAAAAACAGTAGTTTTATAGAGCTGTCTTTGAAAGATAATAAAACAGCAAATCTCTAGCTAGAGTCACCAAGAAAAAGAGAAACACAAATACATACAATTAAGTTGATTCATGCAAAGAAAATACTATAAAAGGTTTCAAGGGACTTCCCTGGTGGTGCAGAGGTTACGAATCTGCCTGCCAGTGCAGGGGACACAGGTTCGAGCCCTGGTCTGGGAAGATCCCACATGCCACGGAGCAACTAAGCCCGTGCACCACAACTACTGAGCCTGCATGCCACAACTACTGAAGCCTGTGTGCCTAGAGCCCATGCTCCACAACAAGAGAAGCCCCCGCAATGAGAAGCCCGTGCACTGCAACCAAGAGTAGCTCCCGCTCGCTGCAACTAGAGAAAGCCTGCACGCAGCAATGAAGACCCAATGCAGCCAAAAATAAATAAATAAATATATTAAGAAGAAAATAGATTTCAATATATCCTTCTATTTTCTTTAAAAAATTTTAAAACTACAGATGATTTTCTAGGAAACTATTACTAAATTTGCCTTATTATGAGGCAGAAAACCTGAGAGAGGAAGTTCTAGAGCCAGAGGGTCAGTGTCCCAGCTCTGCCACTACTAGCTATGTGACCCTGGGAAGAGACTAGTCTGTGCTCAGTCACCTCAACCATAACTAATGTGGGGATGGTGTGGTAACCTCAGAGGGTTGTTGAGAGGGTCAGATGAGGTAATACTTGTATAGGACAAATGACAAACTGGGGGAAATGCTTACAATATATGACACATGAAGAGCTCTTACATATTAATAAGAACAAAACAAACACAGAACTTTAAAAAAAAATAAAGGACACAAACAACACAAATCCCAAAAGAAATAAAAATGGCCAGTAAACAAAGGAGGAGAGTATGTTTAAAAGTTAACTCATCTTCCCTGCCAAACTAGCCACTTCTCCTGACTTTACTAGTTTTTTTTCCCCAGTCTCTCTCAATCCATTCTCAACATCCAATCAGTTATTACAACCTGTGTGTATTTTACCTTTTTTTTTTTTTTTTTTTTTTTTTGCGGTACGTGGGCCTCTCACTGCTGTGGCCTCTCCCGTTGCGGAGCACAGGCTGCAGATGTGCAGGCTCAGCGGCCATGGCTCACGGACCCAGCCGCTCCGCGGCATGTGGGATCTTCCCGGACCAGGGCACGAACCCATGTCCCCTGCATCGGCAGGCAGACTCTCAACCACTGCACCACCAGGGAAGCCCTATTTTACCTTTATAATATTTTTCACATACCAGTTCCGTCTTTTCTTTCTCGCTACCTCGGTGACTCTCATTGTCGCAGCCTTAGTTGTGGCCTCCGACCTAGACCACTGTAGAAGCTCAGCTAATAAGACTTCTCTACATAACATTTTTTATCCCATTTAATTCAATGTAGAGTCTGTAGCTAGATCAATCTTCTGAAAGCCTGATTCCGATGTCATCCTACTCAAGAATCTTTTGTAGTTCTCCAACTCTGGACACTCAAGGCCCTCCATAATCTGACCCTACATACCTTTCCAACCTCATTTCCCATTAAATAACCCTACTTCTCCAGTGCTCTAGTCAAGCTGAACCAGTTGCTATTCGTGGAATCCATGCATTCATGCCTCTGTACCTTTGCTCATGCTGTTCTGTTAAATCTTACCTATTCTTAGTATTTTCAACCAATAGTGCTGAGACAACTGGATATCCACATACAAAAGAATGAGGTTGGATCTCTACCTCACACCATATAAAAATTAACTAAAAATGGATCATAGACCTAAATGTAAGAGCTAAAACTATAAAACTCTTAGAAGAAAATACAGGTGTAATTTTTCATGACCTGGAGTCAGGCAATATTTTTTTAGATATACCAAAAGTACACATAACCAAAGAAAACAGATAAATTGGACTGAATCAAAATTAAAATCTTTTATGCTTCAAAAGACACAGTCAGGAAAGTAAAACGACAACCCACAGAACGGGAGAAAATGTTTACAAGTCATATATCTGGTTAGACACTTGTATCCAGAACATATAAAGAGCACTTACAACTAAAGAGTAAAAAGGCAAATAACCCAATTTGAAAACAGACAAAGGATCTGGATAGACATTTCTCCAAAGAAGATATACAAATGGCCACTAAGTACATGATAAGATGCTCAACATTGTTAGTCATCATGGAAATACAAATAAAAAACACAACAAGAATTCTCACCCACTAAACTAAAATTAAAAAGACTATAACAAGTGTTGTCAAGGATGTGGAGAAATCAGAACCTTCACACATTGCTGGTGGGATTAAAAAATGGCGCAGCTACTTGGAGAATAGTCTGGCAATTCCTCAAAAGGTTAAACAAGGAGTTACCATATGACCCAGCAATTCCACTCCTAGGTATTTACTCAAGAGAATTAAAAACATGTGTCCAACAAAAACTTGTACATGAGTGTTCATAGCAGCATTATTCATGATAGCCAAAAAGTAAAAACAACCCAAATGTCTATCAAATGATGAATAGATGAATAAATTGTGGTCTATTCATACAATGGAATATTATTCAGCTGTAAAAAGTAATGAAGTACTGACAAATGCTACAACATGGATGAACCTTGAAAATATCATTCTAAGTGAAAGAAGCCAGACACAAAAGGCCAAAATTATATGATTCCATTTATACAAAGTGTCCAGAACAAGCAATTCCATAGAAACTGCAAGAAGATTAGCAGTTGCCAGGGACTGAGGGATGGAAGAATGGGACGTGACTGCTAATGGATAAGGGGTTTCTTTTTAGGGTGATGAAAATGTTCTAAAATTGATTGTGGTGAGGGTTGCACAAATTTGTGAATATACTAAAACCCATTGATTTGTACACTTTAAGAGGGTAAATTTTATAATATATGAATTATATCTCTATAAATATGTTAAACACCTTACTTATTCTTAAATTAGTATCTAGCTCAAAAGCCACAGTCAGAATTTTTCAAGACTCACAGCATCATTTTTCTGCCTCACATAAAGGTTTTCCTTTATTCCCTTATAATCAACTATAAATGGAGCCTGCCTTAATTATCATTGTATCCCTTCCAGCTCCTAACATAGTTCCTTGAGCATAGCAAGTACTCTATAAAAGCAAATTAAAGGGTTTTGAAAAAATAATCGGAGGGTCATCAGAATCAACAGAAAATTCTAGGATTAAAGGGACTGAAAAAGGATTTGGGGGACTATGAGAACGAAGTTTGTGGCAAGCCTGTGTTCCCACTAATTTTCTAGCATTGTGAGCAGGTGAGCCTGCTACATTCACAGAAGATTATTCCACAAGAGCAACAGACAATGAACACTGAGCAGATGTATACAGAGGTTGATGTTATAATCAAAACTTTTAGCAAAGTCAATCTGACACGCTTAATGCTATATATAATTGTTATTGTGCTTCATAGTAATTAGGCATAAGTAGTAAGCAATTTACATAAATAACTGTAGTTAGTTTTGCTTTTACACTGCCAAATAAAAATTTTATAATTGTTTCCTCTCCTTTGGTTAGTTTTCCAGTGTATATACTGGTAACATATAAAATTTAATTTCTATCACACAAATAATAGTTAACGTTTATCGAGTATGTAAGGAACTCTCTGAGTGCTTTACCTGTAACATCGTTTTCAATTTTTATAACAACCCCATGAGGTAGGTACTGGACTACTTATTGAGTGTTTATTCTGAGAACACAAAATACTATTTTTACTGCTTTACATGTTTTAAACTCACATAATTATTACAACAATTATATGAGGTAGAAATTAGTATGTCTTCCATTTTACAGACACAGAAACTGAAACATAGAGTGGTTAGCCAGCGTCACGCAGCTAGTTAAATGGTAAAGACAGGGTTGGAACCTAGTCAGTCTGGTTCTGGAGCATGTACTCCCTTACTGCTGTGCTTTTCTGTAATCCATATTTCTCTTGCTCTTATTCCCACATACTAATCCAGGACTCCTGATCCCAAAAAGTTCTTGATAAGTATTTCCTGGAGGTCTCAGGGATGTTTTGCACACAGTCAGAAAAAGCTCAGTTAACTATCACATTGTCTCTGCTGCTTTTCTATTATTCCATTGCTCCAGCTCTTCCTTCTGCTTCATGCCTACCAGGCACCCATATCTGCCAGGCTCGGCTTTATCTACCACCACATCCCCTGGGCACATTTTGGGGGTACTGTTGCTGCTCACATTGGGTTCAACGCATAAAAAAGTAGGGATAAACAAATGTACCACACTAATGCAAGATGTTAATAATGGGGGGAATCTGTGCAGGGGAGAAGGGGAGGGGATATATGGGAACTCTGTACTTTCTGCTCTAGTTTTCTATAAACCTAAAACTTCTCCTTTAAAAAGTCTATTTTTTTTAATGTAGGGGCAAATGTCTTTTAACCCCTTTTAGAGTTTTACTTTTCCACTTGAGTATCAAAACTGCCATTTGTGTATAAGTTCTTACAGGGTTTTAGCAAAATAGTTCTTTTGTTTTTGCTTATAACAACCCCTGGGAAAGAGACTCCTAGTCACCCTCCAACCTCCTTCATTGAACTGAAACTGAGGGGCTTGCTAACAAATTCCAGTGACAAGCTTTATAGCTGGATCTTCTCAATTCCCTTCCTTTAGAGAGAATCCTCTCCTGGGAAGACTCCATAGTCACTCATTTAGATAAACCTCTGGGGCCTGAGCCTTACCAATTTTCCTGATCTGCCTATATATGCTGGATCCAAGTGGTGGACCCAGCCTGGATCCCCTTCAAAAGGTGGCCCTTTCAAAGGGTGCCATCCTTGCAAGGAAATGAGCAATTTTAAAAAGTATTAACTAGAGACTCTGTAGTGTTCTGTTCATACCTTTCTTGGGATCGGCTTTCAGGGACCTCATGCAAAAAGTGCCTTTGCCCACCCAAGAGCAGTGTGCTTAGTCTTGACACCCTGGCCATTATTGATTCACCTACCCTGGACCTCTTCCACTCCTATAATGACTCTCAAGAATAAGCACCAGTGAACTTTCTGATTTTAGGGAAGACTCTTTATTACCTTGGAAGCTACAGTTCCAGTGGCTCAAAAGCAAACACATGGAGACTAGGGTCTGACCAGATAAGCAGGATAATTTCTCAGTAATACTCTGACTGAAGCTCTAGCCCTGCCCCTGTCCCCAGATGCCTGAAGAGGGTTACTTTGGTGTCAGCATCTCCCCAGTGGAGGAGGGTGTAAGCAACAACCACACTCCACCAATCCCCTTTAATTGTCAGGTGGCCATAGTGCCTGGCCTGGACAGGACTGGATTCTTTCCCTACCTCCTGTCTCCTACCATCTGTCTTGCTTTGGCATTCTTTTAGAGGTGTTCCATTAGTCTAGGACAGTGAAGTGCAGACTTGGAGTATGTAAAACTGGTGAAGTCTGAATGAGCTTTATGGATATTGTACTACAGTTGTAAGATGTTAACACTGGGGGAGGCTGGGGAAAGGGTGCATAGGACTTCCCTGCACATTTCTTTGCAAACTTCTGCAAATCTATAATTATGTAAAAATAAGAACGTAACATACGTACGTGTATACATAATCTGGAGTGCCGGAGAATGGACTTCATTACAGGCATTTGAAAAACAATCCAGATGTATTATTTGTAGAGCGCATGAGAATCTTCTGGGGTTTATTAAACATGAAGGCCCCCAGCTCCAGAGACTCTTGTTGGGTGGTGGTGATGGGGGAGTGGGTCAGAATCTGCATGTACACGTTCCCGAGACGGTTGTATTGCAGATGATCCTGAGAGTCCACTTTGAGAAGCACTGGTCAGTGGGAGAACAGGGAGGTGCCAACAAGCATCTGATACCTGGGTATAATTTGAGGGCCTGGGAGACTCAAATTATTGCCTCAATCTTCTGGAAAATGGCTGCTCCAACTGCAACAGTAACAAATAGGTGGACATTCTCTTCTGTTGTGTCTGGATGGAGCACCTTCTGGTTTCGGTAGTTCCCAAAGCTCTCACTGGTCACTGCCTTGAGGTGCTGAGTCTCTGATTGCACTGAGTGTTAAAACCGTGGATCTCATTCCTTCCCTGCCATTTTTTCTTGGTATTGGTGTTTTCCTGGTGATTACAGCTGCCCTGTTTATGCCCACCTTCCGCATTCCAAGGCTAAAATATCTGGGGGGGATGGAATATGCTCACAAGGATTCTGAATCTTTATCTAGGCGCCCTCTGTCCTCTAAGAAACAAGCTAACTACTTTCACTCATGGAAGTCTTTAATGCCATGACTATGATTTTATATTCTTAGACGACCTCCACACTCT